GACATTTAGACCACAAGCCTAGCAAAGGCTGCACATAAAAAAACAATAGTTCTTAGTTCTTTGTAATAATGATTAGTTCATCGAGTTCTTCATGTTTCAAAGTTCATCTGCGATCATAACTGTATTTAGTCCATATATTGCCTGTCTATAATAGTATCAGTTATCATGTTTTCAAATATAGCACTTACCGTGTCCACTGTGGTATAAAGGACATTTTGTTCGTTTTTTTCGCTTTCTTTTTTTTTTTTTTTTTTCGATTTGTAAGGCATTTTTTCTGACGTCAGGGCTTCCGCGCAGGCTCCTTTAAGGTTGCCATGGGTTACAAGCTCACATGTCAGAGCAGGGCGCATTGACGTCAGAGGTGGCTCCTGATTGGCTGGTGGCTGTATCCGGTGGGGCAGCGGTCCAAGGCTCGGCAAAAAAAAATCGAAGCGAGGAGGATCTGCTAACGGTACGCTTTGACAAATACCAAGCCATCCCGAGTCACAAACCAGGGACTTGGCAAGAATTTACACATCTTGTAAGTATTGCAATTTGACGGTCTTTAAACCATCGACCTTTTGAATGTGTGAAATCTATTTCCCCGTCAAGCGTTTGTTTATGATAGAGCTCAAGATGGCGTCATTGGAGAAGAGCTTTGCCTTTGCGCGGAGCTAGCAGCTAGGCTTCAAAGTGGACACACTCTTATCTAATGTCGCTTTTAATAGATGCTTTAGTGAGAAACTGAAGTGCCACATGCATAGTGAACTGTAATCGAAGTGTAGTTATATCTTTGTGAAAAAAGCTTTTCTCTCAATCATCATTTGTTACTTCGCTGCAGCCGTCACCCTCTTCATGAAGCCTTCCTGATCCACACAGCCGTCAAACGCGAGTTTTCAGTGTAACAAATGATACAACTCACTCATGTGAGCATTATGCACGTCGTTTCGTGTTAAAACAGAAAATAATTAAATGGACGCTCAGCGTCACAAGGTCATCTGTTGTTTTTATGTTATTGTATTTCAAATGCATCACCTCTAGCCATATAAGCCACAATATAAATAACGTGTTAATCAAACACACAGACAAGAAGCATCACGTTAAATAGATACGACTGACATGGAGGATGGGGTAGTCTCGTTGTGTTGCCTTGTGTGGTGTCTTAGCTCTTAATTGATTACCCAGGTCAGTATTATTTAACAGTGAGAGAGTTATTCTAAAAGTAGATTTAGGTTCTGTCAGACATGCCAAGTTTCCACCTTAACGCCAGTGTGTAGAGACCGTGCCACTTTCTTTGATAACATACTAGTTTAGTTTTCTTGCCCAGGCTTTGTTAGTTTAGCACAAACCATTCTTCTCCAAAAGAACCCATCCTTTTCTACTGGTTTACATGATTAAAGAGAACATTACAGACCCTCTTCATTTAGTCCCAGCTATAGTGCTTAAATTACTGAGACCCATCAGATGATCTGAGAATTTGGAATTTTGGAGAGTTGGAATTTTTGAAACCTTGAACGCATTATGCTTTTGCTTTTATGCCTGTTCTGTGTCGCTGCACAAGTAGAGGTGGGCAGGTTAGCAAAATATCAATATTATCAGGAATTTTGTTTTGAAGATATGCAACATTTGAATATAAAGTAGACTGTTAATATTTCTGCACTTTATTTTATGGCATTTTACTTTTCATTTCACATCTGTGGGATACTTAAACGTTGACAAATTAATTGTTGTTTAAACAAAATTGTTTAAACAATTGGATTGACATAATATCATCTGTTCATTTTACTCCTAAAAAAATGCAGATGTTGGGCAGATATAAATTTTTATCAATATTGCCCACTCCTATGTACAGACTTTGTTTAATGGAAGATCCTGTATTCTCTTTATTTAGAGGTAAAACACAAATGAAGTTTGGAACAGGTTTATCCAAAACTGTGTCGCTGCTCCAGATGGCTGTTTACAGTAGAAGTGTGTTATCACATCATATGACCAGCTCTCGTTCTTGACTGTGTGTGTGTGTGTGTGTGTGTGTGGGGCAAAGCAGGCCCTGTCTTTCACACACTGCCTCTATTTTCCACACATTTTTTTTTTTAAACACTCTTCTTCTTCATCAATGTTATGTCTTTTAAATGGTGATTAAATAAACAGATGCTACATTTTCTTTTCGTCTAGTTTGTAGTTCTGTAGTACTCTATATTGAAATAAAACCAAAATGTATTTTATTGTGTCAGCTGATCTGTGATACTTATTTTCCTCTGTTGTCTCCTCTGGCTCCAGTAAACAGGTCAGAAGTCACAGAGGAGCGTCATGGCGTCTGGAAGTACGAGCAGTGAAGAGGAGCGGAGCCTGCGAGAATGCGAGCAGTACGTGCAGAAGCACAACATTCAGCAGCTGCTGAAGGACTGTATTGTCCAGCTGTGCACCTCCCGACCAGACAGGCCCATGGCCTTTCTCCGAGAGTACTTTGAGAGGCTTGAGAAGGTATGACTGCTGTGACCTCCTCCTTCTTATCTTTCAAGAATTATTTATCTACACAAGAATTAGGATTGGACAGTATATTGGTGCTAATGTCAGAGGATTCTTTTTTTCCTTCCTTACACTGGTATCTTAAACATTTCTAGATATATCGACCCAATGATTTTTCCCTATCAGTAATCGAGCTAAAAATATGGCATTTTACAAAATCACCTTACAAAGTACAATAACATGTATCCAGAAAAATATATTTGATTAGTTTTACAATTGTTAATAGTTTTGTGAATTGTATTTTAATTTGTAGGCCATAGATTTAAAAATATTGGACATGTCAGAGCATCTCTAATCTGGATAAATACATCTATTTCTATTAGGATACACATATTGTATTTTATATAAATCAAGTTTGAATCTTGTCTTTGAGGTTTTTTTTGTTATATGCCTTGCTCTTGGCTTTAAAAGAAACAGCGGGATATTTCTGTATTGACACAAAAACATTTTTTTCCAGGAGGAGGCTAAGCAAATCCAGAGCCAGCAAAAGGCCAGCTCCCGCTCAGATTCCCGGGATGAGGAGGTGTCTCCACCCATGAACCCAGTGGTGAAGGGACGCAGGCGAAGAGGGGCCTTCAGTGCAGAGGTGTACACAGAGGAGGACGCTGCCTCCTATGTGAGGAAGGTGAGCCCTGGATCTTTAAATATTGTTTCAATATTTATTTTAATATTTAAGATTGATGACACTAGTGCATTTACTTTTCCCTAAGGTTATTCCTAAAGACTACAAAACAATGGCTGCTTTGGCCAAAGCTATTGAAAAGAATGTGCTCTTCTCACATCTAGATGACAATGAAAGGAGGTATGACAATATGAAAGACATCCATAAACAAACAAACAAATGATTACAATCTAATTCTTTTCTCATATTTGTCATTCTTACAGTGACATATTTGATGCAATGTTTCCTGTGACCTACATAGCAGGAGAAACTGTTATTTTGCAGGGTAAGATGAATTAATTAATTCTTTTTTAGGCATTTAGCTGTAACACTCAAACTCATCTTTTGATTGTATTACCACAGGTGATGAAGGTGATAATTTCTATGTTATTGATCAAGGAGAGATGGATGTAAGTTATCTATAGAACTTAAATGAATCTGTAGTACTTGGATTAAAACTTCACAATTTGTGCTCTGGCCTAAATTTTAACAATGTTTTTTTTAATGTTTTTTTTCCGTTAGGTGTATGTTAACAATGAGTGGGTGACCAGCATTGGAGAGGGTGGCAGTTTTGGAGAGCTAGCCTTGATCTACGGTACCCCCAGAGCAGCCACAGTGAAAGCCAAGACAAACGTGAAGCTGTGGGGCATCGACAGAGACAGTTACAGAAGAATACTGATGGTGAGAACAGAAGCCTGCTCTGCATGGGTCTGTGGGATTTGTCTGAACATAATGTGTTGTTTTTTAGGGAAGCACTTTGAGAAAGAGGAAGATGTATGAAGAATTCCTCAGGAAAGTGTCCATTTTAGGTGAGAAAGTATTTTATTTCATGTTTTTTCAAAACATCATACATTACCGTTTTATTGCTAAAGTTAAATAACGTGAATGCCTTGGAGGTTCTTAAGATGTTTCTTCTCTCCTCAGAGTCTCTTGACAAATGGGAGCGTTTGACAGTGGCTGATGCGTTGGAGCCTGTCCAGTTTGAGGATGGACAGAAGATAGTTGTGCAGGGAGAACCTGGAGATGAGTTCTTCATCATCCTAGAGGTATGGTCTTAGTAATTCAGAAGTCCTTTTGCCATTTAATCATATCTACTGCCTCAGTTTACATTAATACATTTGAATTACTGGCAAAAGTATGCCCTCTGGTGGTAGTATTGAAACGGTTGAGTTTCTAGACAATATGACACAAAATACACAACAGTTAGTTAAGGTATTACATCATTGTAAATATTTGTATTCATTTCTTTGTGTGACTTAAGTTGCAGATTCTAAATAAGGGAAGTTCAAGATCATTTTAGCTTAAAGTCTTTTAGCAAAGGCTAATTTCTTTACTGCTGTCTATATCGTCTCATACTAATGAGGCTTGTAGAATCACATGTTTTGTTTTTTCAGGGTTCTGCTGCGGTGTTACAGCGTCGTTCTGAGAATGAGGAGTTTGTGGAAGTGGGGAGATTAGGGCCGTCTGACTACTTTGGTAAGAATTGCAGACCTGATGTTTATCTCCTCTTCTTTGGCATTTGTCTCATGTCTTGTGTGTTGTAGGTGAGATCGCCCTACTGATGAACCGCCCCCGCGCTGCCACAGTGGTGGCCCGTGGGCCTCTGAAATGTGTGAAGCTGGACCGGCCTCGTTTTGAACGTGTGCTGGGCCCGTGCTCTGACATCCTCAAGAGGAACATCCAACAGTACAACAGCTTTGTGTCGCTGTCTGTCTGAAGGAGCCTCTGTGCACCCTTCTCCTCTAGACCCAGGGTCCATCCGTACTCTTTGCTTTTCTCACTTTATTCTTGGCTTTTATCCTCAGTACTCTTCTGTTACAGATTATGTTGTTGTCACTAAAGAGTGACTTCTAGCCATTCACCAGCGCTTATACCAGCTGCTGTACGCTACCTTGTAGGCACAGTTACATTACCTGTTACTTATGTTTTGTACGTATTTGCTGGTTATGCTTTTATAGACTTAAAGCCGGACTGAAAGGAGAGGTTTCAGGGTCTCTGTATGAGACAGGACAATCAAACTTTACATGGCGCTTTTGATGACTTTGTTTTACATAAAGACTGCTTTAATCTTTTTAGACCTCAGTTCTATAGATTGTAGAGCAGGACCTAAAACTGTACAAAGCAGGAGAATTCTTTGCATCACACAATGGCTTTGATATATTCTGGATGTGCTCAGTTTGTTTTGGTTGGTAAGATTAGACAATGATGAACTTTTATGCTTAGTTTGAGAGAGCTTGTACAACTGTTGATTTTATTGTGCAGCTACCAGGCTAGTGCCAAATGTTGATTATTGTCACAAAGCGATGGAAGTCGTGGAAGCGGTTTCAAGCTCCACACAGGAAGTGGTCCTTTACCCCAGTGTCCTCTTAAACCAGTAGAAAGACCATACAACAACTGCCTTGAATACTCAGAAAAAATCTATATACATGTAAAAAAAAAAAAAAAGTATTCAACGTATTTCAGTATTCAATTTTTTAGTACATACCAAATATCTTGGTCACTCTTCTGCTATGGTTTGTAATTAAAATGTTATTCTAGTATAGTCGACTAATCATAGTTCTATAACATTGTTTATGAGATGATAAATTTATGGTTTGGAGTGATGGTGAAGCTTAAATATGTTTTACTGTCTTTTGTAAACACTTATTTTTCCATGAATTCTATTTTAGGTGTCCAGTGCCACAAAGTAAAAATAAATGCTTCTTCTTGTTGACTGACAAAACAGTATGTAATTGTATTGTGTGAAACATCATGGGATTGTTTTAAAAATAGATTTCAAAAGAGGAAAATTCCAGCTATCAATGAAGTGAAGTCTTGGGTTTCAGGACATCTGAAGTATTTGTGTATCGCTGGAGGTTGCCAGGCCGGATATATTTATTTAAATTAGTGTTGTTGCTTATGCCTATTGAAAAGGTGGCTGTCTTTTCATTGGAGTAGCTTGTAATCTGTTCTCTATGCTTACTTGGCATGATGTTTTAGGCACCCAGTTGATATGGGATGAATGGAAGCAGGACCTTTTTTCTGTCAGAGTTAACTCCTTTTAGCTTAACTGCTTCATAATGGTAAAATTAGTTCTTTTCAATTTTTTTACCAAATAACACTTGGGGTAAATTGAATTTAATTTGGGTGCCTGTTGCAGGGTTGGTCTTTCTTTTCTTCTTCTTTTTTTTTTTTAAGCAGTCCCCTTTTTTATGTTTTGATTTTGATTCGTGTCAGACTTGGTGGCACCTCCTTACTGGTTTCCCTCCTTTATTCCTAAGGGTTTGTTTTCATGTACATAGGAGCAGCATTGTCATCACTCTAGTCCCACCACAGTTGTTGAGATTTGCCTTAGCTTTCCCTAACCCAGGGCAGACTGTGCTTAAGCCCAGATCTCCAGTGAGAGCTTTGAGGGGCGTGCAGCGCGTGCTGCAGCCGTTCTGAGGACCATTCTTTTTCTATTCTTCCCTGTATTCAGTTTGACCTCCTGTATGTGCAAAATGTTTATCTTTTTGGTATAGATTGTTCCAGATGGCAGTTTAAGCAATAAAAAGTCAAAAACTACAACCATTTGTCCATGTATGGGTCTTTCTGTTTGCGTTTTTTGTCACACTTTACCGTTAGAGGAACTTCATTGTTATGGTGCAGTAAATAAGGGAACTACATGTATAATAATTCTTCAACATTTAAATCTTTTTTTTATTATTATTATGACAGAACCAATTGTTTGTCTATGCATTTTAAAAGGAGAAAATAGCATATTCACTTTTGTTTTTATGCATATTCAATTTTGTTTTTACCTGCACAGAATTTGTCAAGATTCATATCATGAAAATATAATTGAAAGATTTTGATTTTGTTAGACCTGTTTTGGAGTATGCCTGAGTATGAGTGAACCTATCATTCTAAATAATTACTCTGTCAATGCTTTCCATAGTAGCAGAGCAGTAACTGAGGACTGTAAATCCAATCTAAGGGTAATGTCTTTGCAATATTGTGCTGATTTCACTTCAGTCTCTGTTTACAAACTTTACATGATCACCTCAAAGACGTTTTATAATATTTGTACACTAGAGGGAGCCATACATTAACATGGCTCATGTGTAAAGGCAGGTGTCTAAATTACACAATAGTTTATTTTGTTAAATGTGCGTTTAAACTTAAAAATGCCATTCTTGTGAGCAGATTGCTCCTGCATTTTGGATCCAGTAGATGACAGTTTATGATACTGCTAGAGGGAATTCGTTTTAGAATCCATTGCTACTTCTTGCATTTTACAGTTTTTTGGGGTTTTTTTGTTTCAGATTTTTCTTCTGCCACTTGACACATGTAAAATTATGATGAATATTTACCAAAGGAACTATGCCACTAAACTAAGTAATATTAGAAGAATATATGAGTGTCAAATACACTTTAACTAGCATGGTGTGAGACACAAACCACACATTTAACTGCATTCACATCCTTCATCGCTGATTTAAATCTGAAGTTAATAGCTTTTCCCCCTTCAATTTCTTGTATTTTACAATTAAATATACCCTTTGTTTGACTTTTTATTCCACACAGATGCTTTTACCCACAATCTCCACATAATCATTTCCAGAGTTAAAAATAACTAATTATTTCTCTTCAGATCAGTTAGACCTGTGTGTGGAATGTGTCTGGAATTCATAAAACTGTTCCCATATGACTTTGCAGATAATACCTGCTCCAAAATAATTACTTGAGTGAGTTGTGAAGCATACCACAGTGTTGTTTCTGTGCCTCAGCTTGTTTTAAGTCCACTCTGATGTTGTAAAGGCGTTTAAGGGCTGTCTGATGGCACGGGGGAGGATTATATGTCTGGAAACTGGGGTGGAGTAAACAACAGTAAGTGGTTGTCTTATGTAGGCTATTTTACTCACATGCGTCAATTAGTACGTTTTCTCCAAAAGCACAAAAAAAACAAAAACAAGATCCCACAAAATAAGACTTTTATTATTGTTTTACTCTTAGAACCTTTCATTGATGCTACAGTTTTAAAGCAGTTTGTCCAGCAGCATATTAAAATCCAGTGCATACAACTCTCTCATTTTTGAGCAACTTTGTCTCAGTAAGTAATTTTTTTTTTTTTACCCACAGTGGTACAGATCCCACCCACTGCCACGCCCACTGCACCCATAAAAAAATCAGATCATAGCAACCCCAACATGCCATAAATCTATGTACTCAGAGGAAACTCGACAGGTCAGTCATATAGTCATTTTCAGATTAAATGAACACAGCTCAGTTAAAGAGCAAATATGCCCCCAAATGTCACAACCTATCCATATTGTCAAATGCTAGCTTTTTAGACTAAGCTTTTGGAAAAAAAAAAAAAAAAAAAACAATTCTAATGCATCTGTACATTGTGCAAGTTATAAATCTGTGGAGAGCATAAAATCACCTGAATCCATCAATGCCATATGTTTTTGTCTATCCCTAACTATAACTAAACTAGAAGTCAAAAGGTGCAGCCAAAATAGGTGAAAAAAATGTTTCCCCTTTGCTGTTTTTCCATTAAAAGTTGGTTCCCCATACTTAAAACTCAATGTTTTGGCTAAACCAGGCATACAAATAATAATTCCCACAGTTGGAGATACTCTGATGCATGTTTTCAGCTTGTGGCCCCTCCCAGCCCCCTGTGGCCCCGCCCTCACTTGCTGCTTGCTGGCAGCCATTTTGCTAGTGTTAGCATTAGCATCATTGCCATGTACCATGTAAATGTACAAAAACATTCCAGCAAAACATTTCTAGGAGAAAGGAGAAAGTGCCTATTTGTCACTCTAGCAGCACAAAATGGGTATTATGAAATCTAATTGACTAATTCTTCTCATTTTTTTTTTTAAATTGATTTAGACAAATCAAAACCAAGTTCATTATGGGTCAAATTGTGACATAAATTGTTTGAAAATATTTAATTTACTGACCTTGTGTACCAAAATTTGTTTTTATCTCAATAAATTATTTATTCTGACAAAATCTGATGATGCCAATTGGCACATGGGCAGCACATGGGGACCGGACTGGCTCAGGACACCTGGACCTTTTCCTACTAAAAATAGTGTAAAGTTTACATATTTAGTTTTATCTGCACCAAATTTTGCACAAGTGATGACCTCAAGTTGTTTTTTACAATTCCTTGGTTTCTCAGAAAGTACATCCAAAGTTTAAAAGGCAATTTTAAGTTTTAATTCTATATTTTTGTCAGGCAGAATTAAAAGGGTTGTGTTTGAGTCTAGTGTACTTATTGCTAATGTTATATAATGTCATTATTTAACACCAGACAGAAAGCACTGTCTTAGCTTCACTTAGACACCAAGATCATCCACATGGCCCATGTACAGGCCACAGAAGGACATAAAATGTATATATCACCATGGAGAATGTTAATTTTGTATTTCTATGGGATCTTGCAGGTGATGTGCCACACCCGCTGTTGCATGTGTTGCTTTAAGTGATGTACTTTTGAAATTTGAAATGAAATGTAAATACTAATTTGTGAACAATTAATTTACACCTTGACTAGATTATCTCTAGTTTAAATCCCGTCCTGGCAATGCTATACTGGATTCCATACCATTAGGAGAATAACTGTAGTTTAGATTTTCTACTGAAATGTTTTTTTTTTCTCGTTCCTAGCCACTTTTTTGTATTTTATTGTCTGGGCATAAGTTAATGAATCAAGCTTTGTTATGACTTCTACCCTCATCTATGCATACATGAAAAGTGAGACAAGTACCATAAAGTGCACCCTTGGGGAATTATCTGGCCACATTAAAACAAGGCATGGCTTCCCTCGCCCTCTCTCTGTCTGCGCAGGCCACAAAGCTGCTTCACAGTCTCCATTCTCTTCCCTTTTACGGCTCGTTCATTAAACCTCAACCACATGGGACTTGTTTGCTCACAGGGCGGCGCTTCCTTGGCCCTTACAGTCTTCGTTACCTGGCTGATTTGATCTGTGTGATGGTCGGTGGGACTGCCTGGGGTCCAAGGGTAGATTTGATGAAGTCTGTGGTGATGACCTGGTCGTCTCCCAGCCTCCGGACACAGCGCTGTATGGCCTTGAGCACTTTGTGGAGGCGGCGGTCCAGAGCCAGCAGGTGGGCTTCGGTCAGGATGGGGTGCAGGGGGTCTCTCTCTAGGGATTCTCTCATGACGTTACTGAGTCTGAAATTAGGGCGCGACAGGAGCTGCAGGCGGACCAGGGTGGAGCGCTTTATCCTGCACACAAACGCTCATGTTCAGAGGCTAGAATGGTATGAGGTCATACTTTCAAAAGGGGAGCTGTATTTGTGGTGTTTTGTAAGATCTAAAAGGAAAAGCCTAAGGGTTAAATGTGATTGTATTAGTGAAAAGGTATGTTATCTTGCTGTATTAATCCATAGGCCTATAGCGCCAAATTGACAGATTAAGTACTGACAATAGACATACTATGACTCTGAAGATATATTCCTGGGAAACTGTAGTGTATGCTCTTTTTACCTAAATTTACATGAAAAAATATATTACAGTACATTCATTAATTAGGTGGGAGTAGACAAAAGTGTACCCAAGCATCATTAATATAACATTACTTAGTAGAAGTAAAGAGCGACCTGAATAATTACTCAAGTAAGAGTAATAATTAAGTAAATAGGATTGTGAATTGTGATTGTGTGAGTGAGTTACTAAAGCCTTTATTTAAGTCAAAGTATAGCTACTTTTTTAAAAAGTTACTCAAGTAAATATAATAAATTCTGTTAATTATAAACACATAATCAATAAGTCATCAATAATAACTGACATCTGAACTGTCCACATCTATAGAATATAAAAGTCAAATTGGAGTTCATAATACTTACATGCAGCATTGTGTGAGTGGGGCCAGGATGGACATTTCATCATGAGAGTGTTTTCCAAATCTAAACAAACACAAAGCCACCGACAAATTCAATATGCATATAACAGATTTTGTGTCTTGCCTCAGGTAACTGAACAATTTCTTTTTCTAATCAAATCCACCTCACCCTCTGGCATTGTCCAAGTGAAGCAAAAATCCTTCATCCCCAAATTTGGTAAAGATTTCATAGTGGTGTCTGTCCATGTTTCCTAAGAGACATAAAATAAAACTGAGAAAAGCTCCGTCATTGCTTTAGAAAGGTTAACTGTGCACTATACTATACTACTTTTATAACGGAGGATTGATTGGCTCCATAGAGATATTATCGGTTTACCTGAAATGTTAAACAGTATGGCATTAAACTAAACCCTCTATATCTATGGAGACAAGCAGGTCATGCCAGTTGTCAAAATTACAGGTCAAATCCTTGGAGAGGCTACCCACTCACTGTAAGAAGGTAACAGAGCAATACAAAGTGTAATTAAATACATCAAGATGAACGTTTAATGCCATAATGTGGAACATTCCAGCTAAAGCAATAACATCTCCATAGAGACAAGCAATAGTGCACCTTCAAACGATACAATTCTTTAATACCTATGAGAAAATCAAAGATGGCCATGTCTATGATGTTGAGGAGACGATTCCCTGTGTTATAAGGTTGCATCTGCTTAATGGTGTCGCAATAAAACGGATTCACCTCCCACCTGCAAAACACGAAAAACTGTTATGCAATTTCTTTTTTTTGCACTTTTATGACTCAACATTCATTCATTCATTCATATTCATTTATATCTTACTCTTCTTGTCCAGTGAAGGTATAGGAGCGTATCCAGGGGTTGGGTATGGACAGTCTTGGTGCGATGCTCAGTCCAGGCAGGTAGGCAGAGAGGGACCCCTCGACCAGGTCAGGACCCCCGCACACAGCATACTCTGTCTTACACACGTACAGGCATTTGGCAAAGAAGCATGTGTTGTTGGCTGTTTGGAGAAAAGCAGAAGGAAAATGTTGGAATATAAATGAGTTTCCTGTTTAGACACATTTACATGGGCTTTTATCCGCGGTGCCTTTCCCTCGGGCTGGATGCAGCTTCACCAAAACACCACACACACTGGAAATAGATGCTTTTAAGATTTGTGTGCATTATGTGTGAATAACAAAGTTTCACAATTATTTGCTCTTTTTGTATATGGCATTATTCTGGATCCTGTGAGAAGGACGGAAGGAAGAGGACAAATATACCAATATCCAGATAATATCATGTTATTATTTTAGTTTTATTTGGTGTCAAATTCTGTGAAAAAAATAAAAAATAAAAAATGACAAACATTTTGACAACTGTAAAAGTAACTCTTACTTACTAGATATAAATATTTTTTCTTGTCATGGAAATGCTTTAAAAATATGTCCCAAATTCCTCAATGTATGTAAAAATGTCCCAGTAGAGATTAGGATTGTGGCATCACACAGCATAGAATTTGCAGTCTTACTGTTAGTCCAATGGAGATTTGAAGATGCTAAATACCTGTATAATAAAATGTGATCAATATTAGTATTATCTGTTATTACATTATTTGGCTATTGCAGCTTAATTGATGTGTGGCAGATGCTACATCAACATGGCGGAATGTGCTAATAAATCCCAAACTGTATATCGTACTATCACTGTATTAACCACATACAAGATTTACTGCAATACGGTGCTGAGGCTTTCCAAATAAATAAGTGTAATTACAAATGTCCTATTTGAAAACATACATGCCTATAATAACAGAACGTATGTTGTCTGCACTAACCAGAGCAAGGATCATACTTTATGTGGTTCCTTGCCATTTTAACATTTCACAACAAGGGCCCAGAAGCTTACAATTCAATGCATACAGTAATTATTATGAAACTTGACTATTACAAAATCCCAGTTTACATATACTTAATCCTGGTCTCTGTAAATTGTATTGGGTTTTGTATCTGTCTCAATAACCACCTGTCAGTGCAATGTTGTGCATTCTTCACAAACATACAGAAAAATCCCGCACACCGTCTTACTTGCAAACTGTGAAATTTATTAGGACAAACCGTGCAACGTTTCGGCACTAGGCCTTCGTCAGGCAAACAGAATGAGAGCTCAGGTGGCCATCTTAAATAGGGTGTGGCAAGCACCCAAGGGTGACCGGTCATAAAGAAACAGTGCACACAAAACCCCATAATTCAAAAAACAAAGACAGTCAACATATAGTGTAATAATAATACAAATAATAATAATAATGAAATCATCATATAACGATCATAGAATAATATTAGAAAAGTAAGAAGAATATATGGATACATATAGACATAGTATACATTCACCCAACTATAAAATAATGTTGTCGTGCCATATACACATCTATATATATACACAATGAATGTTAAGCTGTAGCCCATAAACAGCCCACCCAAAGCAAGAGTCCTAATGATGTAAACTAATGTTTACAAAAAGATGCTAAGATTAAAATCGTCATTGAGTCCTTTAGGAGCTAAAGTTTGGAGAGTGTGAATCCAAAATGCTTCTCTTTGTTTAAGTATGCGGTCATGGTCCCCTCCTCTGGGTGGAGGGGGGACATGCTCAATGCCACAGAAACGTAGAAAGCAAATATCATGTCTCTGATCATTAAAATGTTCTGCTACAGGGTAGTCCCGGTCGTTTCTTCTGATGGAGCTCTTGTGTTCACTTATTCTTTGTTTAAGTTTTCTTGTGGTCTTTCCAATGTACACTAGGCCGCATGGACATTTCAACATATAGACTACATGTGTAGATGCACATGTGATAACACTTTTTATGGGATATTTTTTACCAGTGTGAGGATGTAAAAAATTATCGTCGAATATTGGGTGATACAAGTTACGGAATAATGTTTCTGCCTTTTGGTGCTCTTTTTTAATAAATCTGTCCGTGACTTGGAGAGCCTGCCCATAAGCATCATCAACCCAAGACACAGGGTACCCTCGTTGTTGGAATCTCACTTTCATGTCAGTGGCTTGTTGAATAAAGTCCTCAGTGGAATGGCAAATTCTTCGTAATCGATAAAATTGACTTGTTACTTTTCTAATATTATTCTATGATCGTTATATGATGATTTCATTATTATTATTATTTGTATTATTATTACACTATATGTTGACTGTCTTTGTTTTTTGAATTATGGGGTTTTGTGTGCACTGTTTCTTTATGACCGGTCACCCTTGGGTGCTTGCCACACCCTATTTAAGATGGCCACCTGAGCTCTCATTCTGTTTGCCTGACGAAGGCCTAGTGCCGAAACGTTGCACGGTTTGTCCTAATAAATTTCACAGTTTGCAAGTAAGATGGTGTGCGGGATTTTTCTGTATGTTCTGGGGCTGCTCCCTCTCTTCCAACGCACCCGTCTCTAGTAGTTGATGTGTGAGGCTCTCATTCTCTCATTCTTCACAAACAAATTACTTTTAGTCAGTGGGTTTCTTTGACTCATGAAGTGATTCTTTTGCCTCTCCTGAGTGACTTTGCACTACTATCTTTGGAAGCGTGTGTGGGTCCTATCCTTTTCTTCATATGACAGTTGCAATGGTATTTCAAAGCACTAAGGTTAATGTTAAGGTATACTTAATCCCAAAGAAGGAAATGAATTGCCTGCATTTGACCCATCTATCACTGCTGCTTTGACTTGTCAGGAGCAGCGGGCCACTGCAGTATAGTGTTAGCTCCCTTGAGCTTGACTTGGCCAGGACAATCTAGCTGGATGACTTTGCCTGCATGTTTTGGCTTACTTACTAGATAGAAATCTTTTTTTCTTGTCATGGAAATGTTGTACTTAAAAATATGTCCCAAATTCCTCAAACTATAATAGATCATAAGAAAGAAGTGGATGTTTACCAGGGGAAGTAAAGAACACAGTTCGAAGGTCCTCGTTTTGGGTTAGTTGGAGGACTTCTCCTGTGATATTCACCAGTCTGCCCACCACCGGGGGCACTCTGCGGAAGTCCAGGATCCTGAAAAAACAAAACAGGATGTGTTTAGGTTTGGAGGCTGTTTTAACTCCCACTTTATTTCACACAAGGTTACAGTTCATAGTTGCATATTCTATCAACATACTGTGTCATTCAACTCTCTATGTTTATATAGGCCAACTCAACCCAAGGTTTATTCCTCTCCCAGGGCCATATTGGAAAAACTGCCTCTTAAACAGCAATGGCACAATAATCACAGAGTAAAAGTCAATGACTGCTGCAGTAGACATTCCCTGATCTACAGATTTTATTGAGAAGTGTTGTTTTACATTGGCACCACCAAAAATAGAGTTAATGTGAAATCAGAAATTGAATGTTCATAGAGAGTTAGGTTTATGAGTATTTATGAGTAGATGCGCTCCATAATAAGACTTTTGGGCATCAGATGACAGTCATCAGGAGACTGTTGCTGACGTGGCCCTGTTGTTTTCAGTCTGCTGTATTGAAGCTGTGTCTTGTTGTGCCTATGTGGCTTCATAATTATACTGTCTCTCTCTGATGACTATACTTGTGTGAATCACACCAGCTCAGCTCTGTGCCATTACCTACAGTGGTGTGTCCACATTCTGTGGTTTATACTGATCAGCGCATTGGGAGCGCCAGGGCTGGGCAGATATGGTGCAATCCACAAGCAGGCTATTACACCGGCACCAAAACACTGTAGAAAACACTGAGCCATTTCCTTTTCCTATTGATAATATCACTGAAAGCATTACACACACTTTAAGTGTTTCATTTATTCAATAGAAAGAACCTTGCTTTAGCCCCATTATAGAGGCTAGTAAAGTAACAGATGTGCTGCCATTACAGCATGTAGCCTTAAGCAGCAATGCAACATAAAATCCGAGGCACTAAAATAGTAAGTGTATGACACAAATAAACAGGAGAACATTACTATAATGAGGTTTTATGAAGCCGCACCTGTCCAGGTGAAAGGCAGCGATCTCTGCGTTATGTCTCTGAAAGTCGACAAAGTAGAATAAGTCTTCTGGTGTCTCCTCATGTCTCTCCTGCCTAGCACACAATAACACATGGTAACACAAAGAACACATGTTACACACGTTACTCATATATTTAACTGATATATACTGTTGTTATTGTTACCTAAGTAAGGAAACTAGTAAAGAAATAATAACTATTTAACTGACACATGTGGTGTAAAAAGCTAGTGTAGACAGACATGATGAAACTTGACAAATAATTTCACTTGGTCCAGAAACAATAAAGAAACGTCAGTTTCAGTGGTGGTCATTTATTTATGAAATCTCCACTTTTTTTGAGATTCTTTATTTTCAGTCATTTTGTAACATTAACTAGAGCCTTAGGTGATGACAAGACTTCTATGACTGCAGTATTGCGATGTTATTAGAAACATACAAACTCTATTCTCACCTCATTGGCTTGAACATGACTTTGGCAAAGTTGTGCATCTTCAAAGCCAGCTTCAGGTGGTGTCCACTGGGCTTCACCACTGGAATCAAAACAAAAACAGAAACACTATCATTTCATGTCGTTGCAGCTATATCCCCCTGTGGTGTTTTTGATGTGTTTAAACCTAATTGGCCTTTTCTCACCGCCCCACTGTGAGTTATGTCACAGCAGTCAGCTTCACTAACCACACACGCCTCCCCCACCACGTCTATAAAGCACCAAAACATATAGACTTTGCAATCTTTTACTTTTCACTCTTGGAATTGAACCAGTTAGGACCAAACTGGCATAAATGGCCACTCTGTGGGCGCTGGATACGGTCTCTCTCCTCTGCTGTTACGGAAATAAATAGACAGTCTGTCGAGGTTCACTTAAAAATGGCGAGAGAAAAGGAATTGTTTTGATGCGTTCTGTCTTGGCAACAAGTGATGTTTGTGTGGTCAGACTGTACTGAAACACAGACTACACACAGAAAGAATGTGGATTGTTTGTTTTTTTTAAGATATTGTAAATAGCACACAATACATATTTTTACACCAACCAAGAGTATTATTTTGACCATTGCAATGGAAATAGAATAAGGTCTACTATGGCACCTGTTAGTTTGCATGTAAGCATTTGGATTTGGACAAGCTATGTGAATAGTTTTAGTGGTTAGTATAAGAATGTGATCCAAGAAATAACATTATCAGAATTGCATCTAGTACTGTATGTATTCTGCTATGACCATTTGCCTGGTTATTCCATTATTGAGTCTTACATAGCAAGGTATTAGTATTAGGGAATTAGTATTAGTATTAGGCGGAAGCTCAGTTTGTTATGCCGAATTAGTGAATTCGTCGAAGTCAATTATCTATCTTCACATTAGCAGGTAGGAGAGGAGTAGGTGGGGAGTTGTGTGGGCTGGAAAGCAGAAAAGGGTCTACATATGAAACATTTAATTAAGCTCTGTCTCTTTGAACATTACCCATTTTGTATTCCCCTCAAAGTGCATGTCTCATAGATCTAGAAGCCAAACAAGAATCCCTATTATCACAGAGGCTGCAGTGTGCTTGTCTCTGACGCTACAGACAAGCAAACAGGAACAAAGCACCAGTCACAATTACTCGTGGAATAACTTATTGTTCACTAATTACAGCAGGCATCGTGAGTGAGATAAAACAAAAGAGCAGTTGCAAAGAGGTGTATTTGGTTTTGCGGTTTACCTTGTGTACAGTCACAGGCTCCTTTTAAAGCTTTCTCGTCTTGAGTGTAATCTGGAGAAGAAAAAAAAAAATCACAAAAATTGCAATAACATGTACAGTTGTAGAGAAGGTACCTTCACCCAGGCAAAGAGTGTACCTTAGAACCATGAATCAAATTAAGGATCTATTATAGATCCACAGTGTAATATTTTTTTGTTGTGGGTCTGACACTTGCTAGTCTCCATGAAGATGTTACTGCTTTGTGTAAAACGCATGCTGACATAAATCTTGTTTATCTTGCATTTATTCAGTTACAGGTGTGTTTATTGCTAAAGAAATACCTCTCCACAAATCTGACCTGTTACTATATCACCTGCTTGTCTCCATGTAAATAAATAGGCTTAATGCCACAGACACAAGCAGGTGGAAGACCCTCCTCCTGAAAAGTTCCATAGGCAACTTTAGTATAGCTTTACATCACAAAGGAAAAGAATGCTTCAATGTAAATTTATTTTTATAGGAAATCAACACAGAGCATATCGAGAAACATTTGCAGGCATAAGTGTATTGTATGTATGTAGTTATTACAAACAGTTCTGCTCTTCTAGTACAAACTTCCATTTAGACTATGCATATTTCAAATATATGCAAGTATAATGGTGTGTTTCTCATTCTAGTGCTCGCATGTTGGGGATGCAGATTCACCTGCATTGATGATCTCCATTGATTTCATGTCTTCGAGGAGCTGTGATATTGAGGGGTCGTCTCTGGAGTACAAGGCATAGCGGTTAATTCCTAGGTGAAATTTGACCCAACTGGCGTCAGGGTCAAAGGTCGCTTCATGTGTGGTCACGGAGATGTTTGCGATGGCTGCGGCCTCACTGTACAATTTCATATGCCTGCGGAGTAAGACCGGATATGTACAGGGAATGTAAATTATGAACAAATAAACTAGAAGCACTGGAGGAGCATGGACACTGGTGGTAGTCAGGTAAGAAAAAAAAATCCAATATTTTCTTAGCAAATACACATAGCAAACTTTCATATTATTTAAAACTATATCTCAATTTCTTTTCTGTTTTCTAAAAGTTCTTATTTGTTTATAAAAGGGAGAGTACGTATTAATGAACATTTAAATGTAAAGATTATAGCAATGGCTAATTTCAAATCAGTTTGATGTCAAAGAATTTACAGGACAGGAAAAAGAGTCACAACAGTCACAAAAAGGCAAAAATAACACAAACAACCTCTAAATATATTTCTTTGTTACATATGATGACATATTTGACCCATATTTTTCCAACCAATAGGCCACAGATATCTACCAATATTGAAACCGATATATCACCCATCTCTTCTTTGAAGGGGTTGTCTGGTCAGCCAAGATAACACAGTTTTCCAATGTCAGCCTGGATTTACCACAGTAGTATTGCAGCACTTGTGTTTACTTTGACAGTCTATACACATTTGTGCAACAGTTCCCTCAGCCTAGTCATTCACAGACCCATTTTGATGACTTGAAAAATACAGTTTGATCATTTAACATTATCAGGAGAAAAATCCAGATATGTATTTTTGTCAATATTGCCCAACCCTTACACCACCGAAAAATAAACTTGCAATGAGAGGCTCACCGCAATGCAAAAGCTGCCCACACCACTCTGAACAGTCATCACACCAGAAACCCAAACCCAAATCTCTGAGACGAGCTAAAAAAGTGACGACTGAACACCACAAGAGACCTGCTCCATCAGTCATGTGGTACACAGGCTGACGGCTCGGGGGTAATTGGGACAAAGGTGCAATGCAAAGTGAATTGAGTTTGTTTTCGTCCTGCTGTTTTTGTAACGCACCAAGATAGACTGACCAGGAATGTATCCGCGTTTCCTTTCCAGCATGCAAATAAAACATTTTGATCAGTTTATGCCAAAAAAGGTTCTTTGTGTGCTATTTGTTGCGAAGATTGAAAGCCAAAACATGACCTATTACTCATGTTACACACAATTTTCCATCTTAAAAGTGGAGATAGACGGGCCGATTCACACATGCCAAGACAGTTTAGCCAGCGATGGATTAGGAGAGCTTTTACTATTTTTAAATCTGTGTTTACCTAAAAAAGAGCATGCCAGAGTGACATGTTTGTGAAGTGTTTTTCTTTCGTCAGTCTTTGGACTTTGATGGCACACTCCAAAAGATTCTAAAAAATTCCTGGGAGCAAACAGTGCACACATGCAGGGTTATGTCTGCCGTGAGTATATGTTATGGCAGAGTGAGTTTATAGAAAATGTAATGGTTTGGGCTGGTCTTAGGGGTCACTGGCTGCACCACTATGATCAGCCTCAAACATGCACACTACTGAGCGTGGCTATTTTGATTATGCTGTAATATTGTAGCTTTAGATTTAAATAATTAAGGCTTTATAATTACATCACACAAAATGCCATTAAGAAGAACATTGCACTAACTGATCAAACTGAGCCAAAATCTTGGGCCCATATCTTTGGGTGTGTGCATGCTTTCACCATCAACACTTCAAATTTTTGACTAAACTGGGTGTAAGCACACAACTAAACCACAACACCACTATGGAGTCTGAAATAAAGCTTGATTGATTGATTATGGAGATGCCATTGCTGTGCCTAGAGTGTTCCCTAGTATGGCATTACACTTATTTATATTACATGTATTAAATTACTTTGAAAAAGTGCATTCGACTGTGAACCTGTCCAATAGTGTTGCCACAATAATAAAATTTCAAACTTAATTGTGATACCAAAATGATAATTAAAAAGGCCTTAAGACAATAGAACATAATCTTCAGTACAAAATAATAACTACCATATATGGTCCTACTAGTTTTGATAAAGCTAGTATATAATATTTTTAATATCAGTGCTTGCTCAAATGTGTATCTAGTTTCAGTACTATTAGCATGTGATTCTCTATACTTTTAACAACCCTACTCTACACAGATCTTGATCTGGTGGCTTTATTGTTTTTTTTCCATGAAGATATTTTAGTACAGTGGAACATTTCAGGCAAAGCAATAACCTCCACATGGAACCAACCAGGTGGCAGACCCTCCACCACAAAAGTTACATAGTGCACCTTTAAATTTAAAAACTACTTTTTGATCTGAACCACTAAAATCATTTTCCAATTAGTACTAACCTCTCCCATCTGGACACTTTCTTCTGGTAGTAGTCCATCAGCTGCTCCACTTCCAGTAGCCTCTCTCCTGCCTCCAGTGCAGGTGCCTGGATGTTGTAAAGCGGATGAGCGAACAGTCTCTCCAATTTGGACCCCACATCTTCCTCCTTTTTATCTGGAATCATTTCCAAAGGTGGTTTAACAGTCCAGTTGAAAAGCATGGGCAGTGCCAGGCCTCGTTGTCCTGGTAAAGTGATGTTATTGTGCTGGCACGAGCATGATTGTCCAAAACCATGACTGAAAGTCCGTAATTTTGGAATCAAGACAAAGTAGAGGTCAGCTGAGAAGATGGCAGCAAGAGTAGCTATGAAAAAACGGTCCCGTCTCATCATTGAAAAAAACTGACAAGAAAAAATTCAAAACAAAAACTAAAGTTGGGTTAAGAGAGCGCTCCTACACAGCATCACTTGTATAGTCCCGCACACACAACCTAGGAGAAGGCTAGGTCTCTACTACCTTCAGTCTCTAAGTTTGAGTTCATTCTTTCAAGTACTTCTCTCCTCCTCCTTCTTCAAGCTACGCAGGAAATGTGGAGCGAGGCGAGCCACGAGCGAGCGTGTGCTAGCAACAGTGTCTGACAGTTTGGCTGCTTCCAGGGACCTGCTGCACAGAGAGATAGGGAGAGAGCGTGTGAGGGAGGAGAGAGCGTGTGAGGGAGCGAGAAGAGAGGGAGGGAGAGAGAGAGAGAGAGAGGGAGAGAGAGAGAGAGAGAGAGAGAGAGAGAGAGGGTGGGCAGGTAAACATCTAATTATTGGTTATAGGATTGAGTGTACTGAGGTTAGTAACAGTCACGATGAATATCATACTTGGGGTTTTGTAGTAGTAGAAGTTTTAGTAGTAGCAGTAGTACTGCTGAACATAAAATCAGTACTAGTAATAGTAGTGAGAGAATTTGTAGTTTGTAGTGACTGAAATCATGCAAGTATTTGTTGGGATAGTAGTGGTGGTCATATAAGTAACAGTAAATAAACCTGATAACAGTTTTTAGCTACTTTTTACAATGATAATTATACACATTTAAAGTAACTGTAGTGGTTGTTGCAGTGGGTAAAGTAGCCCAGCATTAGTGACAGTAAGCAATAATAGTAGCAATAACAGTTTTTTTGAAATGCAGTACTAGTAGAGGTGGTCCTTTTAATGGCCTACAATTTAGAGCGGAAATATTTAAAGTAAAAATGACACAAGAAGTAACACTACTTAGTAATAATACAATCCACTTACTTATGTTCTCTTGAAGCTATTCTTTGGACTTAACCAGGAAGAAATTTGCCGTGGTGCATTGTAGTCTAATCACGTTCAACTGGCCCATCCACTCTGACGAAAACAAAATCAGCGTTATTAATAGTCAGCTGAATGTCATTACTGAGACAGGTTACCTCTGAACATCTATGCGTGTGTGTGTGTGCATGTATGTGCGTCTGTGCGTGTGCCTGGGTAATAGCATAATGGCCTCAACAGGTACATCCCCAGCTCTGCCATGTTGGTCACTCTTCTTTCATTTGCACACACTTTCTCTCCTCTCTTTATCTTTTCATCTGTGATCCCTCGCTCCTGTGCCTCTCCTTTCTTCTCCTGTCTGTCATGCCATAGACATGTCCTCTGTTTGGCTTGGGGGTAAATTCTTAGCTGCTATTTCCCACACAGATCTCCCACTTACTTTTCTACCTGTCGCTCTGTTAAAATGCACAAGTTTGGAAAAAAAAAATGGAAAAAAAGTAGTGAAACCAGCACACATAATGGAGCAAGACAGGACTTTTTAAACTTAACATTTGTGGAAAAAAATATGCATTATTACCAACTTTATCTATGAACCAAAGTCACATTTTGTAAACAAATAAAATAAACTGAACAGATTGCAGAAAAACTAAATGTAAAAAAATATATATATCCCTACCTTATACACATTTTTGAAAAAAGATTATTACACACTTTCACAAATTTCACTGATCCAACTCACTCCTTCTGATTTACTCCAGGCCCATATCTGTTTTAAAGGCAACTTCACCCTTAAGTAGGCAACATCTCCTAGGGCCATTCCTAGCCTGCATTTGCTGTTGTGACTGAGGTATTTTTGAACATCTGTCGTCTGATCTGGTGTGTGTACTCAGAAGTCTGTTAAAAGTGTGTGTCAGTGTCTGGGAGCCTCTCTCTGGGGTCCGATACCTCGTCTGAAGAGAAAACAAACTGAAGATGCAGGAAATTTGTTACAGGCAGTGGTGAGTGGTAAGTACAAAAGTAAAAATACAATACATCAGTACAAATTTTAGGTATCTGTACTTTACTTAAGTAGATTTTACAGTGGATGCTTTTTACTTTTACTTCACTACATTTTAGATCTGAACTGAAAAAAAAGAAGTACTTTTCTTGTGAGACCTTTTGAAAAGGTTGTTGTTGTGACTTTATTCATTTAGCACATTTAATTTGAGTTTCTGTCCCAAATTTGAGCAAACCAAATACACAAAAAAGGCAAAAAAAATTAAGAAATCAATTAAATTACTTAAAATCTGCTAAATTCTTCAAAATCACTACATTTCATCCTTTAATTGTTCTAAACATCTCTGCAAAAATATTTTTTACTCTTTATTAAGTACATTTTTAAACAGGTACTTCAATACTTTTACTTAAGTAGATTTTCTCATGTGATACTTTTTCTTGAGTAACTTTTTGCGCCGTATCTGTACTTTTAAGTTACAAAACTGAGTACTTCGTCCGCCACTGGTTATAGATTTTGTTATACATTTGACAAGAATGAACAGGGACTAGCATCTGCACTGTCAAAAATACATCGTCATTTCCCAGACCGCACCAGCTATTTTTACTTTTTTTTCCCAACAGATTTTAGTGGTGCACAAATATTTTCTATAACAATTTATTGTAATATTTGTTTCCATTATAGACGGTTTAATTTACCTAATGGACACACAAAATGTCAAGTACAAAATGTCAAGCATAGTACAATTTTAATCCATCTACAGATAAAAACATGAAAAATCTCCAAAAGTCTTTGCATGAACATGCTGCAGAAATCAGACAGAGCCAGACAGCCACAATAAGATAATGCAGTGTTATCAGAGCAGTGCCTGAGGGGGTACAAGTGACACAAGCTCCTGATGTGTCCTGTTTCTCTGTATTCGAAATGGCAACCTCTACTTCCAGCAATTCTGATTCAAAACAGTGCAGTTGTTAGAGACGAATAAGTACATCAATATGTTTCAGGATCAAAAAGGAAAAACAAACAAAAGTAGGGCACTGAGTTTCATGGGTAATTGGTGCAATTCTTTAGACGTGTGTGGAGGGTTCGTTGAAAATGAGTATGCACATAAATCTGCATTCCCCTACAGATAATATCCAACAGTAGGGTAAAATGTCAATTCTAAAATGTCACGCTGTTGATGTGTGGTACATATCTGCATTCGATAGATAGCTCAGTTTCCTTCTTGTTTCAGCCAAGGACCAGTAGTTTGCCTGAAGAAGTCTGTCCTAGAAAAACAATAAAAGAACAAAAATGTAATCAATATGAAATCCCTGGAAGCTTTTTTCTACTAATTTCTTTGGAATGCATAAAAACTTCAAAATGAGGTTCTGCATTTCATGGGCTAGGAGGTAAGTGGTCTAAAACTCATCTTAAAGCTGCACTGTGTAACTTTTCTCGTGGAGGGTCTACCATTTGCTCCTCTCCATGGAACTTATATTGCTTTGTCTGGAATGTTCCACAGTGAAGAATTAAACTCATCTATCTCCATGAAGATAAGCAAAAGCTAAACTAGGCCAAGAAACAGCTCAGATCTATGGAGAGGCGTCTCAGCACATTGTAAGAGTGCTTGTTTTTAATCAATAACAACATCTGTAATGGAATAAATGCAAAATATACCATGCTATGGAACATTCCAAGCCAAACATCCCCACACATCCCCATGGAGACAAGCAAGTAGTGGACCTTCTACCAGAAATGTTACACAGTGTACCTTTAACATATAAAGATATTACAGTTTGTGCATTTGTTTTTCATAACTGTGGTTTGAATAGCTGACAAAAGCGTGAGTGAATGAGTTGAGTCAGGGGAAACTACCATAGCAATGTAATCCAAAGCATTTTAAAACAAAGGAATAAACACAAATTCATTCTCACGATTTTCTAAAAATATTGTATTTTTGTGTTTCCTTTATTATCCTTTCCTCTGAATCATGTTTTTGGACAACTGCCTGTGGTCCAATGCTCCCATGTTGAGGAACTATCACATTCCAATGAAACTGGTTAGGGTTAGTCACCACATGGACGGAGTCAGAGCTTTACACAATACACACAATAAATAAGGGATTTGATGTTCTCACCAGTAGGAACCCCTTGACCTCTTCACACTAAGGATTAATCTATTTGGTGTACTTGCCTTTTTACTTTGCAGCCTCAACAGCCAACACTGTCATTAAGCAGAAATCTTCTGTCACTCCATGAAGATCTTGTCTTGCTATAGCTGTCATTCAAATGCTTTAAGGACTAAGAAAAGAAAAGTAAGCTAAGATAGAAATTTAATACAGTAGAAAGTAAATAAAATTATGTTTAAGTTGCTATATTTAGTATTACCATGACTGCCTGAGGCCCTTGATGTTCAAATTCACCAAAAGGGCAATCTGTAGAAAGCAAGAGTCGACAGTTAATGTGTGGTGGCATGAAATGTACAAATTGCTAATGTTGGCTAGTACAGTTTAATACATTGTCTCTCTGTCTACCCATCACACACACAATTCTTGAGCATATCTGCAATTTTAGAAATCTGGCTAACTATTTGAGCCTTAGAACTTGGTCCAAAAGTTGAGCACTAGACTTCAGAGGAGAATGTGAAGAATGCCCTGGATTTAGTCTTGATATTTTTGTAAAATTGGACAAGGCAGATCTAGAGTTTCTTTCTCTACTTTAAATCCATTCTACATACAATACTTATCACATTACGAATAATTGACTTTCTAGTCACTCCGTGATATGGAAGCATTTGGGATCCAGATGAAAGTCATAATTATTAGTGGGACATTCCCTGAGAACAGCCAAATGTGACTGGGGCAGTGCTGGGTCATGAAGAGGCCATAGACTTGAGTGTGTGTGTGTGTGTGTGTGTGTGTGCGTGCGTGTGTGTGCGTGGGCGTGGGGAGGTGGGGCGGTGCAGCACTTTGAAACACCTGTGTGCCTCTGACAGTTACCTTCAGCAGAGAGCTCTCTCTCTGAAGTTTGACCACTGTCCCCGGGGTCAAGGCTGGGGCTCTGGAGCTTGTCATGGCGCTCTTCGGTCAGGCTGCTCTGTGTGTCCCTAATGTGCAAACACAAACATTTGATACAAAAGCATTATATCTGTGTTTACTGTTAGATATGATGTACAACAAAAGAGAAACTGTTCCCAAGCACTTTAATTTAACCTTTTAGGTTCTACATTTAACACCTTGGATTAGTTTGCATAGACATACCAAATCCTTGGCTCTGGCCTTGCTTTATTTAATATCCCAATAAACCAAAACATAAGCAGCATGGGGAGACTTTTTACCATGTACTATGTAAATGTATTGCAAAATCTCAGAATTTTGAATGACTGTTTGTCTCTGGGAGTCATTCCAGTATGTACTGTTAAACAGCCAGTTTGTTCTTTGTACCCTCTCCCCAATGAACACTAACCCCTGCTATGTACTCTATGTACATAAGTAATAGAAATAACTTCCTTCTTTCTGACCTTTTACATGTATGCAGTGTATATTTATTTACCTATGTCTGTGCCACACTTTCCCCCACTTTCCTTCATCTAAAATTACATTTGGTCAGACAGATGTGTCTTTATGGGCCATGTTACCCAACATGTGACAGAAATATAGTCACTCAAAATGCCAAGGAGAGTTTATGTTCTTGAACCCAAGTTTCATAAAACACATACATCTGTGGTACCATGAGTAAAACAGTGGCATTCAATTGATTCAACTAGATTTAATGATGTTTGAAATATTTGGGTACTAATGCTAAATAACAACATTTCTTTAGGGGATGTACTCTACATTAAAGTCAAGGACAAATAGTGATATTAATAGAAAATGGTATGACCATGTTTAATCAGAAACCTCTCAGCCTGAATGGAGCAAGCATCTGTGAGGTTCCACTGCACTCCCTGTCCAAAAGATCCCACATGGTCTCCATCTTGTGTCCAGAGTCCAGCAGACCCATCAGCTGAAGCAGACAGGATAAACAGCCTGTCAGCCCTCTTTAAGACTTCCACAGCTATCACTGCTCCTGTGTGTGCCCTCCAGCAGTGCAGCAAAGGGGGGAGCTCGCTCACAGTCTACAGGTGAACAGAACATACGTACATGATAAGTAAAGACGATTTACTACAGACAAACAAAGTGAATCCTACCTCATTTGGAATATCAAGTCCATAGAGAGAGATGTCCCAGATGTGAAGCCAGCCAGCTGTGTCCCCAGAAACAAGTACAGTGTTTTCAGACTGGTTGGAGCTCAGGGTGAGAACACTTTCATCCGACTGGTCTGGAGCAAAGAACTGCCCTGTAAGAAAGATTTGGAGATTGAATTGGAGTTTAATCCTCAACAAATTCTTTGTACTCTATTGAACTCAGTATATGTATACAGTAAGTGCCTGGTGTAAATGCATACATCAGCATGGCTCCATAAACACATAGAGTAATTGCCTGCTGGGTTTCCCTACATGCTTTACATGTACTATATGCACATGTGTTTCACTCAGAGGCCCTGGGTCCCACACCACTAAACACAGATGGGACCTGGAAACAGACATAGCTGTGGGCTATGAGGAATGGTACTGTCTAAAGGCCAAGTGGACAGTTCAGCCTCACTGTCACTGAGTCTGGACTCCAGACTCCAGACAATTATTCAAACTGACAGATTCATGTCAGCTACTATAGTAGTCTATAGGTCAGAACAGACCTTGTCACTCAATGCCACTTCTTACTGGCACTCAATCATGTTTACTCCACAATACACTCACCATAAGAATGTGTTTGTCCAGTGACGCTCCAGAAGCAGACAACACCAGCCTGTGATGACACTAACACGCCTTTGTTTCTTAAACTTCTGTTCACCACTCGGTGCTGGAGGAATATGAGGCAATCCACCGGGGGGACACCTCTGTAAACAGATGTTTATAATGTTGTTTACAATGTTGTTACTACCACTGAATATTCCAGACCAAGTTATAGTTGATCAGAACCTAATACAGTCCCTGACAAAAGTCCTGTCGCTTATCCATTTTGTAGAAACAAAAGCTTATAACCTGACTTTAAATTAATCAATTGGTTTTAGAAATGTCTCATATGAAAGCTAAAACCCTCCCAAATTATGCTCAATATACTAAAATAAATTTGCTTCACTGAAGAAAGATTGATAATTTAATGAACACAGAAAGGTCAGATTTTGGCAAGACAAAAGTCCTGTCGCCTTGTCATATAATGCACCCAATCCTAGATTACAGCCTCACCTGTGATCAGTTACTGATCAATCAATTAGTGGGTGTGTATAAAAAGAACCCCAGCACACCAGACCTTCACATCAACTGCAACTTGACCTCTGACAACATGCCTAAGATCCATCCTGAGACCAAAGCGTTAATTATCAAGAGGCTGAAGACCAGATCCACTGCTGAGGTGGCTAACACCTTCAATGTGTCTCAGCGTCAAGTACAAAGAATAAGAAAAAGATCTGAAATGACTGGAGATGTTTTTGACAGGCCCAGGTCCGGCAGACCCCGCAAGATAACTGCTCGGGAGGACCGTTTGTTGATTCGAAAATCCAAGGCCAGCCCCTTTTCCACTGCAACAGAGCTCCACCAGGCCTGGTCACCTCAAGTCCCTGTGTCAACCACAACAGTTTGTAGAATTCTGTCTCGAAATAGCCTCCATGGTCGAATCAGTGCACAGAAACCAGCACTAAACAAAAGGCAATTAAAAAACCGTGTGGCATTTGCCAAGGCCCACAGCCTGCTAAAAGGATGGACACTGGAAAAGTGGCAGAAGGTGGATTTCTCAGATGAATCCTCGGTTGAATTACATCACAGCTGCCGTAAATATTGCAGGAGACCTACTGGAGCCCACATGGATTCAAGATTCACCCAGAAAACAGTTAAGTTTGGTGGAAGAAAAATCATGGTCTGGGGTTCCATCCAGTATGGGGATGTGCGAGACATTTGCAGGGTGGAAGGCAATATCAACAGCCTAAAATATCAAGAAGTATTAGCTACCTCTTACATTCCCAACCATAAAAGGGGTCAAATTTTGCAGCAGGATGGTGCTCCATCGCATACTTCTATCTCTACATCAAAGTTTCTCAAGGCGAAGAAGGTCAAGGTGCTCCAGGACTGGCCAGCCCAGTCACCAGACATGAACATCATTGAGCATGTCTGGGGTAGAATGAAAGAGGAAGCATGGAAGGCAAAACCTAAGAATTTGGATGAACTCTGGGAGGCATGTAAGACTGCTTTCTTTGCTATTCCTGATGACTTCATCAACAAATTGTATGAATCATTGTCGAACCGCATGGATGCAGTCCTTCAAGCTCATGGAAGTCATACAAGATATTAATATGGATCTCACAGCACCACTACTTAATTCACTGACGTTATGCAACATATTTTTGTATTTGAAGTAAATTATTTGTTCAATTTTCTGTAGGCGACAAAACTTTTGTCTTGCCAAAATCTGACCTTTCTGTGTTCATTAAATGAGCAATCTTTCTTCAGTGAAGCAAATTAATTTTAGTATATTGAGCATAATTTGGGAGGGTTTTAGCTTTCATATGAGACATTTCTAAAACCAATCGATTAATTTAAAGTCAGGTTATAAGCTTTTGTTTCTACAAAATGGATAAGCGACAAGACTTTTGTCAGGGACTGTAATGGTAGCAACCTCACTTTAGTTGCTTCTTACCCCAAGGATGTCTCTTTGCATAAACTGAGAACTGGAATTTGTGTTTCCAACTTCCAGACAATGATCCCTGCTTTTTGTGAGGCTGTGGCGGTAATGCCCAAAGCAGGACAATGTGCCAGAGCACAGATGTCTGATTTGTGGAGTTCACTCAACTTCCCGGAGCTGCTGGCTTTCACATGCAAATCCTGTGGCATATTTTATACACATAGGGTGTACTTTACTTTAAAATCAATCTATTCAATAAAATATGAATGTCTGGTTTTATTTTACCTTAGAGGATACTAGGTCATATTCAGCAATACAATGTCTGCAACCAACAGCGAACAGGTGATCACCATGGAAACACAACAGTCCAGTGACCACAGAGTTGAGAGGCTCCAGTTTGTGCAAGTTCAGACCATTCAGTAAGTTCCACACCTGTGAGAAAACTCATTTAAATATTACACCCTGTGTGTGAAGTGTTCTTTTCATTGAAGTTGTATGTGTGATCCATCACCTTAACTGTCCCATTATGAGCCCCAGTAATGAGCCTTCTTTGGGATGTATCTAGTGCCATGCAGCTCAGCCTTCCCTCTCCGTGAGCGCTGGAGATATGCAGTGTCTTCCTCCCAGTCTCCAGGTCCCACACACACACTGTGGAGTCAGTGGAGCCAGTCACCACCTGCTGCAGAGTGGGGTTGTATAATGCACAGGACAGGGACACCTTTGACCTGCCATCTCCTGACTGATCAGTGAACCCCTCTCCTCTCCCCACTCTCAGTCCATTTGACAGACTGAGCAGTGCCAGGTAATCCTTGCATCCCACCAGTAAATGAGGCGACATCTCATCAGGAAGAGGGGGACTTAAAAGCAGGAATGGGAAGCTGCCATGTTCAGGGATTTGTGCAGCTTGCAGACAGGGGAAATGTAACTTGATGGTTTTAAGACATTCATGTGTGGTGATGTCCCAGATCCTCAGCTCCTGTAACAAACACCACTTTATTCACAGTATATGATGAAAATGCGCAAAGATCTGTCCCCTGAGTAGGCATTGAGACACTCACTGCATCTCTAGAATAGCTGAAAATCTGTTCCACAGGTTGGTAAATTGCAACATCAATAAGTGCAGCGTGGTGACCTCGCAGTGTAGCCAGTGGACATGTGGTCACATATCGAGCCCACAACCACACTGCACAGTCATTGCCTCCGGTCACAATCAGCTGCAGAGGCACATTGTAGTCAAAACATTTGACTCCCTGAAAAACAGATGCAGACGTTGTAATGGAATAACACATATGAGCTATTCATTTGTTTTTGTTCAGATGGGCGCACAGATAACAACAAAAAAAGAAAAAGAAATTATGAATACATAAAAAACTAAGGAGACAAAAACAAGTCTTTATAGGGTTTAGTAAGTGGTTGCTTCATGATTCATTGGTCTAGACAGTCATTACTCAAACATTATAGTGTTTACTACATTTCTGTTGTTGACTTACTCCTGCCATAGGGACCAGAAGCTTGTCAAAAATATACTGTGTAACAGAGTTGTCACGATACTAACATTTCAAACTCTATTTCGATACTAAGGAACAGGAAGGAAGGAAAGAAGAGGAGAAGGAGGGCAAGATATCATTTCAGGACATTATATTAGAAGAAAACAAAAAGTTTGGTCTTACACTTGTTCTGCTACAGCTCAAAATCTTTCTAAAACTATTCAGGAATGATTTATTCCTGTGCTGTGAATGTGATTTTTTTAGTATTGATATCTGCTCCATGAGTATGGATAAGCCCTTTTCTATACCTAATTAACCACAATAAAGCATGAACAAAGACTTAATCCATAATGAACAAAGTATGTTATGCTATATTAGTAAGACTGATTCAGGCTAACTACATAATTGATAGTCTAATTCAAACTACTAAACCCTAAACTCTTATTTAAGAAGTTACTAAGCCTACACCATTCTTAATAAACTATTATAAAAGGTTTAGTTATTATAAAGTTACCACATCATGCATTACATTAAAAATGTCAACTGAAGCTCTCTCACCTCCCTGATTTTCCAAATATATGGATTTTGCTTTTCTGACATACTGACGCAAACCACAGAAGTAACAGAACTCTCTGAAGAAGTCATGATCAGAGCGGTACACATTTCAAACATGATCCTGGTGACTGGATCTTGGTGTACACTCGAGATATAGCGATAAGACACAGTTCCCTCATGGTCACTAAGATGCTGCGAGGAAGAGATCAGAGCAACATTTGTAACATTTGTAAAACTTTTGTCTCTCTTTGAATGTTTCAGTATTTACATGAAGATAGATTCTTTGAAGGCAGTTCTCTTTCTTGGTCATGTTGTTGAAAAGGCGCTTGGTTGGATTTAGAAACTGCAACACATGAATCCCTCCCATTTCATCACCTATTAGCAACATTGATGGTTCAAATGGATACTTAAAGAAAAAGAAAAAAATGAGATACTTTTAGATATTGTATTGGCAATCTGAGAAAAAAAGAAAAAAATAATACCTGGATATCATACCAGTAGCAAATAGCAGTAGGGACACATGGAAAACCTATAATAAAAAGGCATTATCATTGTTGAACTATTGAGCTCTTTAAACTTGGGCAGCACAAAATATTGTAAAAGTATCGATATTTCAATATTGGCTGACACAATAATTGATATTGCAATAACTAAAAGAAATCACAATAGCACCAAGCTTGACCATCTGACAGAAAAAAAGACCTGTATTTATTATTTCTCTAAATTATAAATTTAACAACCAAATCACATATCACACTCTTATCCAATATCATGCAGCCCTAATCTACACACAGTCATATACATACCATACAGATGGAAGTCCTCAATCGCATTAGTTGTGGAGACATTGATAAAGTGTATGTCCCTGCAGTCTGTTGAAATGGCCACCTTATGTGCATTCCTCATGTACACAGCATCAGTGACCCATCCTTGGAATCTTTTAGTATGAGCCACTTCCTCTGTTGGATCTCCAGCAAGCTGACGGTAGAGTGCAAACACGTGATTGAAGTAGCTTTAACTGTAAAAGAGGTAAACGCATGATTTGACTTACCTTTAGAGTTTTAGTGATGTTGAGGCATTTGTTCCAGACAGTGACCTGACCACCTTTACTGACACTAATGTAACGCAGTGTAGGGGGTTGGAAAACAGCTACGACACGAATTGTTGGCTCCCTCTGCAAAAGTAAGAATAAAGAATAAGATTTTTTTTTTAGACTACTGGAAAAGCGAACAATAGCATTAGGTCAAATTAAAAATGACTTCTTTGATTGGTTCTAGACTGTATAAAATGTTGATTATATTTTAAATGTATAAATCATGAACCTGGCAACAATAGCCATAGATCTCTTTTCATTGATTACAGCAACAAAGTCCATGTTACAGGACCCAAGCTCCACCCCTGGTTAGACCAATAGGCTAGGCCTATCTAGATATGGCACTATAGGTACACCCAGCATTCAGCATGGCACCTACTAACATAAACACAGACTAGACAACTATTTTTCTTTGCGTAAGTTATATGATTTCTCATCATTTTGACTTAACAGCTTAATCAATCTTAATATAACTGATTGATGATAGTTTTTTTCTTTCTTTATATATATATTTTTTTCTAGCTAACAGGCTAACAATCAAATTCTCAAATAGCCTACTAACTAATTAGCTCAGTGCTTACTTTACAAAACAAATATGTTATTTACAAATCATATATAAATATAAATGGAATATGTTTTGATTGTTGTACATCATTTTGCTGTAGTTACCTGGTTGTGGGCGCAGTGCCTGTACACGGGCTGTGCGTCCTGCAGAGCTGCGGCGGGGACAGAGGCCCTGCACCTGTCGCTGTACTCCAACAGGAGGTAGGAACACAGCTGCTGCCAGCTCACCTGTCCCGTGCAGCATATGTCCACCTACATATCACGCACATTAGTTCATTATCATCACCATCATCTAATGCATGACATAATTTAATGAAAACCAAGCCTACCTCATCAAAGAATCGCTTGACCCATCCATCCCCTGCAGCAGTCCCAGTCACTAAATGAATAACTTCACTAAACTCCGCAAACCCCATTTTATGATCTTGGCTTCTGATCCTTCTTTTCCGGCCACTTACTTCATTTGTTCGCTGTTTGTGTTTAGCGCTGGTGAAAGCATCCCTCAGGAGCTGCAGGTGCTCTGGGCTTAGTTTTTCTGATGGGCTTAATCCAGTAGCGGCATCACTAAGGTTAAACAAATAAATAAACAACATTCAATTAATAAAATAATCAATAAAAAAACAACAACAAAGAAACAAAAAACAATTACGATCACTCAAGGTCTACTAGTGTGCTGCTAAAGTATAAAAAAATTTTATTAATTATTTATTATCAGTTTTTAGAGCTGTAGTGGGACTTTGGCTCCCTGTTGTGGCAGGGTATGAGTACTACAAGACTCTACTTCAGTTGTTCTCAAACTTTCTTTGAACTTCTTGTAGCCCATGTTGTATCATGAAGTTGAAAAATGTCCTCTACACTTTGTGTGTGGTCTGCAGTGCCTGACTTAGACAATAACCACATAAACCACATAATGTGCATGGCCCCATTTAGTCCAGTAAAGGTGTGCATGAGTGGCCTTTCTTTCTCAGTGAAATCATAAAACAATTAAACTGTAAACATTTGCATTAAAAGTAGTTCTACACGTTTATTCCATTTAGGGTTTAAAGGTCTTCAATAAAAGCTTGCAGGGTTATAAATCATAGCAGAGGATAAAACAATGACACATCTATAGGCTCATCATGGATTACCGTTAAAATATGGTGTTTAGTAAATATAAATTATGATTATAACTGTAGCGGTTAATCAGAATATCTGGGTAACTAATAGACTAGTATACTATGTTAAAATAATCACTGTTTTAATAATTATTAATTGGTATTTGGACAATACAGACTCTTGACAGTAATATAAAAAATAATGTGTAAATGTGAAATTTAGATGCATTTTTTTTTTACCTTAATCTGGTAATGTATTGACCTGCAGACTACTAAAATAATAGTTGAAGGCCTAGTTCTGACATTTTGCCATATATGCCTTTTCTTCATATTGTTGTAACCACAACAAAAAATGATTGAACACTCACCAAAACCTTCTGTGAGGAATCTCTTTCTCATAAACCAACCATGGATTTTTGTGCTTCTTCAAGATTTCCATAGCAATAGAAAAAATAAAAATAATGTAACAATAAAAAAAATCTTCTGTATATTTCAGTTGTATAGGCCTAATAAAGGCTAGTAGCAGCTTCCCATTACCAAGCCCCTCACCAGTCTGAAGCATTCATTGAACTGGTCCACGTCTGACTGTCTGGGCTCTTTGTCCATCACTTTCTTCTCATGCAAATCCGATTGGGCCAAACAGAGCTAGAGGTCCTCAAACAGGGAAGGAATGTCCATCGTACAGGTCAGTAATCTATCCGTCATGTTTCTGTCCACTCACTGGGAGACAAGAGTCAACACATCACTAGAATAGCTGAGGTCTGCTGGTGTTTAAGAAAGCTCCGAGTGCCTGGAGACCATCAGAGGAAGTTAATGATTGGAGAAGGCCATGTTAGTTGTAACCCTCTAGAGTTTCACTTTACACAGAGCCAGTACTGATTCTAACAGTGAAGACCATAAAAATACAATTTCTTAGAATGTTCAATAAAAGCTCTCCAATTTGGCCTAATGGTGTTACACGCTTGTCTCACTGAAGATAGATTACTTTAATACCTTACTGTGGAACATTCCAGACAAAATAATAATGTCTCTATAGAAACAAGCGTGTAGGCTGAAGTTACATAGTGTAAAGTTTTAGAATCTATGAATGAGTAGAAAAAAGTTTAACCAATAGCAGTGGTAGTATAAGTAATTATACCATCCCAGCAGTAGCAGTGGTCTAGTTTGTGGAAGCAGCTTGGATTACCTTTGTTTTGACATTTATTTAAGATTTGTATTTTTAATTTTTTTTTTTTTTTTTTTTAAGATTTGTACATTTGGATAACATCTGAATTACTATCGAATTTTATAATGTTATATTTCATAAGCAAAAGATGAACTCACAGGTTTAACCAAGTTCTGGATTAGTCACAACATATGACTGCCTTCTTATAAAGTTAGAGTTACAGTACAGATGAAATATGGAGATCGAAGGTAAAGTATGTTTTATCTTAAAACAGAATCGACAGAATGTAGACCATAATCCGACATTGGACATTGTGCCTCCCTAAAGGGCCACTAGATGGAGCCATAAACGTTCCTTGTGCTGGAGATCACCGCTCTCTGAGTTCCATACATCCAAGAGAGCAACTCGCAGGATGGCAGTAGAGGCACGCTGTCGCTCCATTCTCGGCCTAATTACACCCCCGTGACCCGCCCCTCGCTTCCCTCATTCCCACAGACGAGTCCTGGAAATGTACTTCCTCCGCCCTGCTCTGTTGGCTCCAGTGATGGGCTGGTGAGGATGGCTAAGCGCAGGAATAAGTTTAGACTTTGTTCTTAGTTTTAGTCACTTATTATTCTTTTTAATTTAGTTTGCAGCCATGCTGAGGGTTGTAGTTGAATCAGCTAAAGGGCTACCTAAAAAGAAAGTTGGAAGTCCTGATCCAGTTGTTTCTGATTTTTAGAGGTAAGAAAAGCAAGTTTTTCTAAGTATGTATTTTTGCAACTTAGTTTTATCCATGTATAATCAAACCAGTATTTTCTTAGATGCTGAGAAAACATTGGCATTTACAGACATTTTTTGAGTTCATGTCAGGTTTGGTCTGGCAATCAGCCTGCCTGAGCTCAGCTGTTTTTGTACCAGTGTTTTCACCTCAGGTGTGGCTGCCTGATCTGTTTTCCCCTCCTGGACAAATGCACTGGCAAAAAGTTATACTGAACACACTGGCATTTTGAATAAACAAAATGTCAAAGTGATAAATTTTTTTTCCAAATGTGATAATAAAGCACTCTTTTAACTTACAGAAGAGAAGAAAAAAACGAAATCAATTGACAGCGAGCTGAATCCTGTCTGGAATGAGGTAACTTTTATTCAAATACTTTTGTGAATTTGTTGTTATTGGCGTGGTCCTCATGGAATGATTAAGTTGGGGTCAGAGTTATTTACAGAAATTATGTCTATAGCCTAATATTTCATTGTTTTATATAATGTTTTTTATGGGAATTAATCTTTGCAAGAATTCTGCTCCTTTCCAATCTGTAGATAGAAAAATCCATACAGCAGATACAGAATCACATGAATGCCACAATGTATATGACCGTGCAAATAGATTTTAGCATTTCACAGTGATGTATGCTTATATTCACCGTGGAGATGTTGATGACATGTGGTTGCCTGCAGATAAGAAATATTTAAATTTCTACACATACATCATTTATTTCATGTTTTGTCTTGCAGGTCCTTGAGTTTGATTTGAAAGGTCAGGCGGTAGACTCCAGCTCTTACATTGACGTGATTGTGAAAGACTATGAAACTATTGGCAAAGATAAGTAAGTACTCTTGTTACTTCTATGTATAAATTTTGTGCAATCTAAGGATCACTATAACTTTACCTCACCTCATTGAATGACAAAGAATCCACGCCAGGACAAATGGTTTCTTGGTAGTGGTATTAGAAGTTTAGATGTGAGTCAACTGTATTCAAGGTGTGTCCTTTTGATGGTTATGTTATAATTCTGTTCTGCATACTTGGGTTAATGAGTATTCCATTGAGTTTTTGTTGGCTTAACAAAATTAGCCGCATGGTGCCAATTGTTTTATGGTTATGACCAGTTGTGGCATGCCAGAGCAGAAATGAAATGAGATATATTTGTTGTACCCCTGTGTTTGAGCAATAGTGAGGACATCATGCTACATCTGCTCCCACACACCCAGTCTGCCATGCTTGGACTTGCTGCACTCTGTGGGCTGACTGATCTCAGTTAAGCAACAATGGATGGATGAATAGCCATTTGTATTCTCTTGCAATGATCCAAGCAGCAGAAAATAGCTAAAATGTTGCTATATATTTGTTCAAGTGTGACCAAAATGCTGACTACACTGGCTCACATTTTTTCGTGAGTGCACACATGGGACCAATCTTGTATGACCGCAACTATTTACACAACACATCACTAATTACTGTGATCAAAGTAGATCAAATCAACAATACATAAATGTGTCAGAAATACACCAGAATATACAGTTTCCAGTCATGTGCAAAGTTAGTAAGTTTCCAGAGTGTACATATAGTCATAACTCAGAGAGGGAGGAGTTTTGTCCTTGTTTGACTGAGTAAGGTTTTCCATCGGGCTGGCCCATCTGACGCACTCCCAAAAATCTACTGCGAGAAAGGGGAGAAGGTGCACTCCAAATAGTTTTCCAGATGTGATTATGGGAACTCCGGTTGTCATGGAAATGAGAGAGAGAGAGGGGGCTTAAACGGTTGTTTTGACTCACTCCATTTAGGGACTCAGATGAAGATACAGTAAAAGTTTATGCAATGAGATCACTGTGCTTATTGTAATGGTAGTTGGACCACCCCTATTATTAATTCCACTGTGGAATTTCCTTTTAATTGTTAAAGATGGTTAATGTATATGTTGTTTAAATCTCATACATCACTGGTTACATTTGTATGGCCATTTGTATGTGGTATCTGCAATATAGAGTACAATTAATTTTTAAATAAATAGAGCCAGAGTTTTTGAACACTTTTAGATTACATTCACTTCATTATACATGACATTTATGAAATTACAGATTGCATTTGAATACCTCTTTACTCTACCTCTCATGTAAATGTCCAGGCTACTGTATCTTGTGATTCAAGTTGGAATTAAAAGTTTAATCCTCTTTGCTCTTTGTGGAGCTCATGTTCACTGTGGCTTCTGCCTGTGGATTCAAAGCACATACCAGGTTTATAGAGTCACTTAAAAGTCCGGAGATTATACTCATCCAAAGTTGTGCCAAAACAATAACTCTCCATCCTCTCCTGCTATTGTCCCAGTTATTTGGGGGAGGATCAAAAATCTATTATAAGGCAGCAGCTTTAACCCTTTAATTAGAGTCTAGTATTATGAGCATTATACATGTCCCTTGCTACATAGTATTTAGATTTTCTGTCAAAGGTAACAGCTATTGTGAGATGTGTTGTTGTGTGAGTTAAAGATACCTGAAGTGTTTTTTAAACACCTGTCTGAAGTCTTAAGAAATGGATACAGTTTTGACCTTGACCTGCATTTAGGTTTATTACCATGTCTTCTTCCTCTCGTTTTCTCTTGGATGGACAATCTTAGTAGTGTTCACAAAAAAAAAATCACAAAATATGTCATCAAACAATCCTGAGCCATAAATGGACTAATAGAGCTTTATCTTGTATTTGTGTACTAGTGCAGAGAGGAAACCGCAGTTGTCAGCTCCTGTGTTGACAGTGAGTGTGGGTGCGTTTGTTTAGCCTTCAGGCAGGTCTGTTAGCTCTGGGTGGTGACAGGCCTCTCTGCTTTATGTGAATTTGACCGTGCTCTCTGTGCTCCTCTGTGTAACCTGAGACACCTAGATCTGACCCAAAAGATGAACTGATGCACAGATTTACACTAAAGTTTGTATCTCTACAGATTCATAGGTTCTGCCAAAATCTCTTTGAGAGATCTTGCCTCGGGACAAGTGAGATCACTGCCCTCCAAAAATGTGCCACTGGTCAATGAAAGCGGACAAAGCATTGGTGTAAGTGCTGTTGCTTAGTCTTTACTTTGTTGTTTTTTTCAGTTTAGTCTATAAAGTGTAATCTTATTACAATATAATAATATGCAATCTGTTGTGTTCAATATACTTCCATGTAGGCTACAATAAACCTTGTTATTGGCTATGACCCACCTGCCAGTGCTACAAACCTGAATGACCCTCAAGGAGGAGATGCTACAGTGGATGCTGGTGTGTGTGGCTTAGTTATTCTCTGGATATACTGGATACTGTTCTGTTTGTATATACCATTCAAGCCCTCTGTTGTCTGCTGAATAGGATCTGGTGGGGTGGAGGAGGGCGATGAGACCACATCAGATGGAGATCCGACTAGTCCAGCAGGTGGAGCTGTGTCAAATAACAGAGCAAACCTGCGCCAGCGATTGGCGAGGAGCACCAAGAGTCGCCACAGACTGGCCAATAAACCCCAGGACTTCCAGGTAATAGATAAGTTTATTATTGTATTAAAATTTTTTCACAGCATGATGGTGTTATGATTGAGGAAATAATGCATTACTAAAGGCGTACAAAAGAAATGACCAATATGTGTGTAGTTGCGTGTCCGGATCATTGAGGCCCGGCAGCTGTCTGGAAACAACGTGAAGCCTGTGGTGAAGGTGAATGTGTGTGGGCAAACTCACAGAACCAGGATCAAGAGAGGGAACAACCCCTTCTATGATGAGGTACACCCATGGCTGACTGAGCTATCTTGGGGAACTTTGTGGTGATTTGGTAAAATAATAATTGACTTTCAGATGTTCTTCTACAACATCCATATGCTGCCATCAGATCTGTTTGAGCAGAACATCAGCTTTAGGGTAAGTCACTTCCCTCAATATAGTTTATAAGTTATTTGAAATACTGCATTTAATGTCACTATATGCTCACAGGTGTATAATTCTTATTCACTTCGAGCAGACAGCCTTATGGGAGAGTTTAAGGTAAAAAAAAAAAAAAAAAAAGAAAAAAAATCTATTTCTGTATGTTTGCTGGTTTGACTAATATTGTGTTCTCCCGATTCAGCTGGACGTTGGTTATGTGTACGATGAACCAGGTGCGCTCTTACAACAAACCTCAGTTTTGTTTCTCATTTACATGTGATATAAAAAGCTATTGTTTGTCAGATATCCTGTTACACATCTTACAAACTACACATGCAAACATGTAAGCTGTTACTGTACAGACTCACAGTAGTACAAGATTCATAACATAAATATGAAGTTAGCATTCCAAAAATTCAGTTGCTCCAAAATATATAAAATATTAGATAAGAATCAAGTTGGAACTGTATTTTTCTGTTGTTCCCATTGCAGCTCACTGTGTCATGAGGAAGTGGCTTCTCCTGAATGATCCAGAGGAGTCCAGCTCTGGTGCTAAAGGCTACCTCAAAGTCACTCTGTTTGTCGTGGGTGCTGGGGATGAACCACCGGTAAAGTTCCCTCTCTAAAGCTCTGGTTTCAATTCTACTTCCTCCTTTTGCCTCATGTAAGTGTCCTCACTGTAGGTGGAGAACAAGGAGTCAAATGATGATCAGGATGACATTGAGAATAATCTGCTTTTACCTGCTGGGGTCACTCTGCGATGGGCCACGCTTTCTCTAAAGGTGTACAGGGCTGAAGACATACCACAGAGTATGTGAAGTATCTCATTATTACTAGAAAGAACATTTACTGGCATAAATACATGTCCAAAATACAACTTAACATCAATCCTATGTTTCCAGTGGATGATGCCTTTGTCCAGTCGATGAAGGAATTCTTTGGAGGGGAGGAAAACAAGAAGAATCTTGTGGATCCTTTCTTAGAGGCTCGCTTCGCTGGCAAAAAGGTATGTGGTAAATCTGTCCCCTCTCAGCAGCTCAGTTGACTGTAAGCAACCTCAGCATGACTCTAGCCACATGACGACTGCATTTGTCTTTAGTTATGTACACAGATCATTGAGAAGAATGCTAACCCTGAGTGGAACCAAGTGCTTAACCTTCAGGTCAAGGTAACAAAAAGAGCTCCTCAGTGTAGAAGAATGTGAGACTTATACCTAATGTTTAGTTTCATCCTAGTTTCCTTCAATGTGCGAGCGCATCAAATTAACTGTATTTGACTGGTAAGTACAAACATGACTTCTATTGTATATTGTATGTATTATATATATATTTTAGATAAGTTGGAGATTGGGGAATAGAGCTTGGGACACAATCTTTTGCAGTGTGGTCAGTGAATTTCCCTACCACATTAGCAGCCACATGAGAATACAATAGCAGCCTATGACTCAGAATGAGATTACTCCTCCCTTTCCCCTCAGTAACACACTCTGCATCAGTATTCCTCAGCTAATTCAAATAGTGTTTCTGACAACAATCCAAGCAAAATATTGAGAGCAAAAGTCACAATAGGTCTTTTCCCTTGGTGTAAATGTAATGAGAGCCTGTTGACGGATGCCAAGGCATATCTGAGATCTGCACATGTGCTGAAAGTACAGCCTATAACAGGATACCCCCTTTTGTAGCACATGTCCAAAAGAGGAGTGTTAAAATGTATCTTTTTGTAGGGATCGCTTAACTGGAAATGACCCTGTTGGCACCACATATCTGAACTTAGCCAAGATTGCATCCTCTGGTGGAGAAATTGAAGGTGAAGTAGAAAATCTTTTATTCTCAAGTGTATAATATTAGTGATAATTTCTGACGGTGTACTTTTTTTTTTTTTTTTTTGACAATTTTACCATGTTTAATCTAATAAAAACTTCTAAAAATGTTTGAACTGTCCCCTTTCTCCTGGTATAGAGGATCATGCAGGAAAAGAGGATGTGCCATCCTATGAAGGTTTATTTGTGTATTTTTTCTGTTCTGTGTTGCATGTAATGTCATGCTTTGAACTTGTTCTAAATGCTCATCTCACGCTCAGTCTTTCCCCCTGCGTGCCCACTGTTAAAACAGCGGCTGTAGTATGACACAATTGTTTAATTACCTGTTGCTGTTGTATTGTTTGCATACTTGCTTTTTTCCTCCACACTTCTACCCTGGCTTGTCCATTGCCGCCCAGATCTACAAATGCAGCTTCTAGCATACATAGTGCTGCATGGCTCACATTGGCTGTAATCCATTTTTAAAAAGATTACAATGTTTGTTTATGTTATCAGTTAATACAGGTGAGTCGGAGGTGGGTTTCCTCCCCGTCTTTGGGCCATGCTATATAAACTTGTATGGAAGCCCAAGAGAGTTCACAGGCCTACCAGACCCTTATGAGGACCTCAATCATGGCAAGGTGGTGGTCTAAATATGGACTGTGATCAAAAGTGCACTTCAACTGAATGTGATTTCATGTTACGTTTGTGGTCACAGGGAGAAGGAGTGGCATACAGAGGAAGAGTCCTGGTTGAACTGTCCACTAAATTAGAAGAAAAAACAGACAAACCTGTGGATGGCATCCCCAATGATGACCTTCTAGTGGTGCAGGTGAGTTTTACTCATTAATCCTTCTCCGTTTTGGCCAGAATATTTATGAGTAACTTTCTATTTTACCAATGTTCTTATGCTATCTTAGAAATACCAGAGGAGGAGGAAGTACTGCCTGTGTGCAGTTTTCCACAGTGCATCAATGTTACAAGAACCTGGGGAGCCCATTCAGTTTGAAGTCAGCATTGGTAACTATGGCAACAAACTGGACACCACCTGCAAACCTCTGGCTTCAACTACTCAGTACAGCTGTGCAGTGTTCGATGGTGAAAAATAGTTAATTGCATTGTTCACATTGTGTAAAAGAGCAATATGTTAATACTGATGGTTTTGCTTGAATTGTAGGTAACCACTACTACTACCTGCCCTGGGCTGGGACCAAACCTGTAGTTGTGGTTACCTCTTACTGGGAAGACATCAGTCACCGCCTGGACTCTGTCAACATCCTCTTGTACATTACAAACCGCCTGGTAAGACTCCATGGGCCTCTAATCTTAAGATACAGCAATGATGACATTCATAGCCATTATTATTCTATGTTTAGTCATGTGGCAGTGTGACTCACACAGGTGGAACTATTCTCTCCATGTTTGTTGTAGCAATCCAACCTGGAAGCATTTAAAGTTGCTATCCTTTCTAAAGTCAATGACAACCAACTTGTGGAGGTGTGGCTCAAGTTGCTCAATCAGCTGATTGAAGACTTAGAAAGGTCAATAAAGAATCTATAAATACACTAACATTTTATGGGGAAAGTAGTTGATATGTTAAAATGCTGATTACAATGTATCTTGATTTAATCCTGCAGTTTACCAATGCCGGAGCTAGAGGGCCGCTCAAACCTCACATCTTTAGACCTCCAGATCAAGAAGCTGCGGGACAGTGCTCTAGCCACAATCATACAAGCAGCCAGACAGATGAGAGACGAGGCCATTGAGATCAGGGACACTGTGGGTGACTTGGAGTCTTGGCTGGACAAGCTTACCCAGCTGGCAGAGGAGGTATACTTCTCACATAAACATGTGTCTTTAATAAAGAAAACATCAGCACTAACCACGTGTCTCTGCTCACAGCCCCAGAACAGCTTGCCTGACGTCATCATTTGGATGTTGCGAGGAGAAAAGAGAGTTGCGTACAGTCGAATTCCTGCTCACCAAATCCTCTATTCCACTTACAATGAGCAGGCCTGTGGTCTGCACTGTGGCAAAACTCAGACTGTATTTTTACAGGTAAATGCATGAAAAGCATGATTAACAATAAATAATTGCTTTCTTTTAATAATACATTTTCTTGCCAATGTCTCTCCCAGTATCCTATGGACAAAACCAAAGGCCTGAAGGTCCCTGTGCAGGTCAGGGTCAACATGTGGCTGGGTCTGTCTGCACATGAGAAGAAGTTCAATTCTTTCTCTGAGGGAACATTCAGTGTGTTTGCTGAACTGGTACTGTATTAACTTCAATCAGACATATCATCAGATATCCAAAAACAATTGGATAAATATTGTCAAAGAGACATGTACCCGGTATTGTCCGTCTTTTACAGTATGAGAACCAAGCCAAAGTATTTGGAAAATGGGGGACCACAGGACTGGTGGGACGCCATAAATTCTCAGATGTGACTGGCAAGCTGAAGCTGAAACAAGAATACTTTATGCCCCCCAGAGGGTGGGAGTGGGAGGAGGACTGGTTTATTGACCCAGAGAAAGCGTGAGTATTAGAAAAAAGTATAGGCATTCATACTGTTACTGGTATTTCCTCTTTGGGCTGCTAATGTTTACATTTCTGATACTGATGATGACTGTAAAATATGCTCAGCCATTTTACCATGTTACCCTGCTAATATATGACCAAAATATTACAAAATATAAAAACACAATGTATTGCTATATGCAAATGTCTCAGCGCTGCTCCATGTTTTGCTTCAGTCTGCTTACAGAGGCAGATGCAGGGCACACAGAGTTCATGGATGAGGTGTTTCAGAATGAGACTCGTTTCCCTGGTGGAGATTGGAAAGGGGCTCCTGAGCCTTACACTGATGTGGTGAGGAATAGGTCATTTCACACTTTGATTACAAACTTGCATTCCTAGAGACTTTTCATGTATTGATAGCAAACTATATCTTCACTCACTTGACAGCTTTGCTTTTTTGGCAGAATGGAGAGAAGAGCCGCACTCCTGGAGAGTTTGAATGTCCTCCTGGCTGGATGTGGGAGGATGAGTGGACAGTGGATGACAACAGAGCTGTTGATGATCAAGGTGACCATCTCTATGCCTTTGTATATGCTGCTGATTTCTGTCCCTTAATCAATATTATTTTATTTGGTGGCCATACCGGTTTGTCAAAGCCTGATCTTGTCAGATCTCAGAAGCTAAGCAAGGTCGGACCTGGGTAGTACTTGGATGGGAGACCACTGGGAATTCCAGGTGCCACAGGGGGCGCCAGTGACAAAAACTGTTGTTGTGTCCTTAGGCAAGACACTTCACGCACATTGCATAGTATGAAAGTGGTGTGTGAGTGATGGTGGTGGTCGGAGGGGCCGATGGCACAGATAGATAGATTGATTGATTGCATATATATAGCTCCTTTCAAGATACCCAAAGCGCTTTAGAGTTCATTATTCAGTCACTCCACACTTAGTGGTGGTAAGCTACTGTTGTAGCCACAGCTGACTGACTGAAGCGAGGCTGCCAATCTGCGCCATCGGCCCCTCCGACCAACACCATCACTCACGCAGACTGCCAGACTGGCTGTCTCGCTTCCATCAGTCTGCCCCAGGGTAGCTGTGGCTACAGCAGTAGCTTACCACCACTGAGTGCTGAGTGAATGAATAATGACCTGTAAAGCAATTTGGGTATCTTGAAAGGTGCTATATAAATGCAATGATTAATTCATTATTTGGCAACATTTTCTTCTAATTTTCAGTAGAACTGGTCTTTTAAAATATCTCATTTAGTTTTACTCCACACTCTACCTCAAAAGGCTGGGAGTATGGGGTGACAATCCCACCCGATGACAAGCCTCGTTCATGGGTCCCTGCTGAAAAGGTTTATCACGTCCATCGCAGGAGAAGGCTGGTACGACCTAGGAAAAGAGGGGCTCTGCCAGCAGGGACTGCTGCAGAGGTAAAGTGCAACATTATATTTCAATAATATTTGTATTTATTTTTAAGTTATATGATGTTAATTAACATCACAGAGGCAAGACCGAGGAGATCCTGAGGGTTGGGAATTCTCGTCTCTGATTGGATGGAAGTTCCATCGTAAGGAACGATCATCTGATACATTTCGCCGAAGACGCTGGAGGAGGAAAATGGCTCCAGAAGATCGCCTTGGAGCATCTGCCATCTTCCAACTCGAAGGAGCTTTGGTGAGAATTTTCAGTATGTTTTTAAGTAGATTACCTTCATTCTACTCATAATGTAAAAAAAAAAAAATCACAGAGCTGGTTTATCTTGTTTATGGTGCAGGGCATTGATACTGAGGAGAGAGAGAAGGGATCAAAGGTGGATGCGACCAAACTGTTTGGAGCTAATACACCTACTGTGTCCTGCTTCTTTGACAGTGAGTGCAGAAACAAACATTAGAAACAGACTGTGTGTATCCAGCACTCACCTCAGGATGTGTCTCTGTAGGATCTTACATGTACCACCTCCGTGTCTATGTCTATCAAGCAAGAAACTTGGCATCTATGGACAAAGATAGTTTTTCTGGTGTGGTTCACATTTCTTGTTTAATGAAAATATTAGGTAGTTTATTCATGTGACTAATAAAATGCTTATTGTTGACAGATCCATATGCACATGTCTCCTTCTTACATTTAAGTAAGACAACAGAGAAGCTTCAAGCAACCTTGAACCCAACTTGGGATCAGACTCTAATTTTTAACAACGTTGAAATTTATGGAGATCCCCAAAACATTGCTACTCGTCCTCCTGATGTTGTGGTGGAATTCTATGACCATGACCAAGTGGTATGTTGGTGCTTGCCTTATTTCAAAAGATCTTTAGACATGTGGTCAGTTTGACATTAAAGTACTGGTTTTCAGGGCAAAGATGAGCTGCTGGGACGCAGTGTTTGCCGCCCGGTGGTGAAGTTGAATCCAGGGATGGACCAGACACCCAAACTTCAGTGGCACCCCATCATACAGAAGGGACATCAGGCAGGAGAGGCCTTGATGGCTGCAGAGATCATCCTCAGAGAAAAGGTTTATTCTCAATCTAATGTATCCTACAAAACTAAAAAAAAAAAAAGTAATGTATTTTTATGACCATGCATTTCTTCTTCTGCAGACCAGTGAGTCTGATCTTCCACTGTTTCCCCCAAAAAGAGCAGAGAACCTCTATATGGTTCCTCAAGGCATCCGACCTATTGTGCAGCTCACTGCTATAGAGGTATTTCCCAAGTTTTTGTTTGTTGTCTAACTAAATGATGGAGTGATGAAAGTACCGTTCCTCCTTATGCAGATTTTGGCATGGGGTTTGCGAAACATGAAGCCCTTCCAGTTGGCCTCTGTCTCTGCTCCCAGTCTGGTGGTGGAGTGTGGAGGGCAGAGAGTGGAGTCTGCTGTCATCAAAAACATGAAGAAGAGTCCCAACTTCCCCAGCTCTGTACTCTTCATCAAAGTGGTAAGGAATGTTTTAGAGTTCACATGAAATTGCAGTCGCTATCTGTTTTTATTAACATATTTCTCCCTTATGATTGCAGCTCCTTCCTAAAGATGAAATGTATACACCTCCCATAGTACTGAAAGTGATTGACCACCGTCCTTTTGGCAGGAAGCCAGTGGTGGGCCAGTGCACCATCAGCACTCTAGAGCAGTTCAGGTGTGACCCTTATGTGATCACTGCAGAGGGAGCCATGTCCTCCAAAAGTATGTTTGAGTAACAGTAAAAACAGCTCTAATACAACATTAGTCCCAGTGACGATCTCTGTTTAACAGTGGCTCTGCTTGCGGCTGCACCATTTAAACATGTTTCTATAAACATGGAGGATGAAAGAAGACCTCTTCTGGAGGCTCAGGTATGTTTTCACATAATGTATTACACACTACAGTTAGTGAGTGGAACCACTAAAAGATCTCATCCTTTAGACAACTACAAGTTGATTTGACTCATTGGGAAAAGCTAAATTTGACATCAGTCAAATTTGACCGAATTTTCACTCTTTCAGTTTATGTACAGCATGTCAGCAGCTGTGAACAAAATGGCTTCACCTACTTCCTTCATTGTATGTATAACCAATTATTGTAGCTTTCTAATCCACATCTCTGCACCAATGTTCCAGGAAAAAACTGCTTTATAATCTCACTGCCACAATCCAAAAAGCAGCTGAAAATGCATGCAATTCCACATGATTCACATAAAATGAGTCAAACGAGTAGCGACAAGCATGTCTGTTATAGTGGTTCTCCCCATGCCGGGCTGTAACAGTGTTGTTGTAGGGGCATAAGCCATAAAACCCATTGTTACAGTCTTGTTTGGCACATCTGATTGAATTCTCACATCCGGTTTTCTTCGCTTCTGCTGTTTATTCAAGAGTCTATATGAATTTATCTCACTTTTTGTCCCTTTTCTCTTTTGAAGCTTGTTGAAAAGGTGAGACTCATAGTACATACCTTAATTGAACTGTATATAGTTAAAAGCATATGTTTCATAATGATGTTTGATTTTAAGGAAAAGGAGACTGTTGACTGGTGGAGTAAATTCTACGCTTCAATGGGTGATCAGGAAAAGTGTGGTCCTTACGTGAAAAAAGGCTACGACACACTCAAAGTAAGTGGTACAGTTGTTGTTTGGAAGTGTAGTTCCTGGCCTCCTGCATGGTCCATCTTTTTTTCAGGTGTATGACTGTGAACTGGAGGATGTCCCAGAGTTCAAAGGCCTGACTGATTTCTGCGACACCTTCAAACTACTGCGAGGCAAAAACGAGGATGGAGACAATGACCCTACTGTGGTGGGAGAGTTCAAGGTGAATATGCACTTTTTGTTATTTTTCATATACAGTACAGTATATAGCTATTAAATAGTATCTAATGTGTCAGATTTCAACACAACTGCTCACCAGCCACCAATTCACACGGCTGTTATCTGAACATGCAGGGCTCCTTTAAAGTGTACCCTCTGCCTGATGACCCGGGTGTTGCCCCTCCACCGCGTCAGTTCAGAGAGCTGCCGCACAGTGGGCCTCAGGAGTGTCTGGTCAGGATTTATATAGTCCGGGCTATTGACCTGCAACCCAAAGACAATAATGGCAGGGTGAGAGCCATGAATGAAAATGTGTATATGTGATTGAGACTTTTTATTATATCTGTTGGGTGTTTTCTTGTCAGTGTGATCCGTACATTAAGATATCGTTAAGAAATAACACAATTGATGACAGAGACCATTATTTGCCGAACACAACCAATCCTGTCTTTGGAAGGTAAGCGCACTGTACTATGTGAATTTCTGTTATAATGTAATAAGAAAAAATACTGTCAAATTCCTTTTTTAGGATGTTTGAGATGACATGTTTCCTACCTCAAGACAAGGATCTAAGGATCGCAGTGTATGACTATGATCTGCTGACCAGAGATGAGAAAGTGGGAGAGACAGTCATTGACCTGGAGAATCGCTTCCTGTCTCGCTATAACTCCTACTGTGGAATTCCACAGACCTACTGCATGTACGCATAGGGTGGAGTCATTCATTTAAGAAGTAAACACAAATAAACTTTGATTTACCTTTTTTAGTTCTGGTATCAACCAGTGGCGAGATCAGCTTAAACCATCTCAGATCCTGGGGAACCTGGCCCGAATGAAAGGTCTGTCCAAACCCTTGAGTGAAGATAACGGCACATCCATGACGTTCAATGGCAAACAGTACACACTGGCTGAGTTTGGTAATCTTATTTATTTCCTTTATAATCAACAAACACAGTCTTTTGATGTTGTACATAATACATTTTAATTAAAATCTATTTACACATGTAGAGGGCACCAAAGAAATTCATCAGCACTTAGGACCTCCCAGTGAACGCCTTTGCCTGCATGTGCTTCGGACACAGGGGCTTGTCCCTGAACATGTGGAGACCAGAACACTGTACAGCTCTTTCCAGCCAAACCTCTCACAGGTGAGAATGAGACACTACAAACAGCACTTAAAGGTCCATTCATTAAACCTGACCCATATTATACACCCTCCTGTGATGATTTAGGGAAGGCTACAGATGTGGGTGGATGTTTTCCCCAAAAGTATTGGCATTCCGGGACCTCCATTTGATATCACCCCTCGCAAACCTAAGAAGTTGGTTCAAAGCAATTTTCATTGTTTTGAGTTTTTGTCTCAATTGTAATTGTTTGTGAAGGTATTTGCTGCGTGCAGTCATCTGGAACACCACTGATGTGACTTTGGATGAGACGAGTATCACTGGAGAACACATGAGCGATATTTATGTCAAAGGGTAACTCATTTTATCAAATCTATTTTGACAATTTTGATAAAATGTCAAATAAATGTGTGTGTGCGTCAGGTGGATGCCTGGGATGGAGGAAGACAAGCAGAAAACAGATGTGCATTACAGATCTCTAGATGGTGATGGCAACTTTAACTGGCGTTTTGTCTTTGAATTTGAATATCTGCCTGCAGAACAACTCTGTCTTGTGTCAAAGAAGGTAAAGCTTTGCTCTCATGCCATTTTTATTACTACAATGGAAAAATTGTGTCACAAATCACTGTTTTCACAACCACACAGGAGCACTTTTGGAGCCTTGATAAAACAGAGTTCAGGATTCCTCCAAAGCTGATAGTTCAGATCTGGGATAATGATAAATTCTCACTGGATGATTACCTTGGTAAGAGATAATAGTTTGCATTGATCTCTTTAAAAGAGGATTAATTCACATTGTTTTTTTTTAATGTCCTATGATATCAGGTACACTGGAGCTAGATTTGCGTAACCTGGTTTCTCCTGCAAAGACTCCAGAAAAATGCTCCTTGGACATGATGGATGTTGTGGACATAAGAGCAACCAACAAGAACAAGCAGTCCAAGTCTCTGTTTGCACAGAAGTCAGTCAGGGGGTGGTGGCCCTGCTCCATTGAACAGGATGGGAAGAAGGTGGTCGGGGTAAGTACTATATGAAAATATTGGCTCACATTAACATAGATTATTAGTTTGACAACACTGTTACATAACAATATGACTAACTATACAATTGTGAATAGGGCAAAGTGGAGATGACGCTGGAGATTGTGAATGAAACTGAGGCAGATGAAAGACCAGCAGGAAAAGGAAGAGATGAACCCAACATGAATCCAAAACTGGATCCACCAAAGTAATTCTCAGATATAAGCACATTTCTTTAATATAAATTTAAATTACCACAGACACTAATTTCTTTTTATTCTTTTTTTTTTTTTAGTCGCCCAGAAACCTCCTTCTTCTGGTTTACAAACCCATGCAAGACCATGAAATTTATAGTGTGGCGGCGGTTCAAATGGGTTTTCATTGGGCTTATAATCCTTATAATAGTGATTCTTTTTGTGGCCATCTTGTTGTACTCCTTACCGGTAAGGGCATTTAAAACCCATTTCCACCCGAGCAGTTCAGAATATTTGTTCTTTTAAAACTGATTTTTTTTTTTGTTTTTTTTTGTCTCCTTACAGAACTACATCTCAATGAAGATTGTGAAGCCTCTTCAGTAACTGCAAACTATAGGCAGTTCCTTGCATGTGTCCAGTTTTTTTATTTACTGGTGTATTCCGAGGTTTTGCACTTGTCAGAATTTCTTAAATGATCTAACATTCTATTTGCACACTTTCTCCTTACAGGTTTGCGGCAGTAAATTTTTTTTCTCTACTCACTGATGGCTTTTAATATTTTTGCAAATTCATTCAAAATATTATATATGGAAAATGCCAAAATATATTGTAATTGTTTAAAAATTGTGTAATGTAAATATTAAAGTATCTACATTAATGTGTTCTGTACAGTGTGCACTATATGCCAGTATTTTACAGCATTAAACCATAATGCATAAATAAAAGCAATTGAGTCAGAAGTAAAATACAGAAGATTAATTTAAGATGGATATAAAAATCTAACACAAAAAAATTGACAATTGATTTTTAAATGACTTGCACATAAAAAGTATGTACATTATACATGAATTGACTGTCATAATTCATTAATTACAATGTTAAGATCATTTAGATTCCTTTGTGGAATTATTCTTCCTCTGAGGTGTGCTGTTTGCAGCACTGCTGGAGAAAAGCCTCCAGCTCTCCCCTTCGAGCCAGACTCTGGGCTTTCCCTTGAAAACGGCCATTCTTCCCTGCTCCCTTTCCTTGAAGCATCTCCAAAACACTAGTAACAAAAAGAGCAATAATGTTTAGGATTTAGGTTTAGGCAAAAAAAAAAAAAAAGCAAAAAGCTTGATTTTGCTCTGATTAACCTACAGTGATTTATCCCTCTCATGCCATGACTTAAGAAATGATGTATTTACTTTCAGAAAAGCATAATAGAGCTGAATTATCCTTAATTAAAGAATGTATAAAACAATCTACAAGGAATACTTTCTATTTAATTGGGTTGTCATATCGAAACATTAAACATTTTATTCTCACTTTACAAATATCAAACATGTAAGAAATATATAAATGTTTCAGTTGAAGTGTAAAGTGTAACCAATACCGTGGTCCCAACTCAGCCACTCGTCCATTGGGTCCAGCCAGTAAAAACAGGCCAGGTCCCTTCTCTTCCCCAACAGTAAGAAAAACTAGTGTTTCCTGAAAGTACAAAATGTGTGTTTTGAAACATGTTCAGCCATTAACATAAGATACTGGACTTACCTCGGTGTTAATTTCATTCGCGATGATATTCATAAACTCATTATCCCCCTCTTTTCTGTGAAAATGTCAAATGTATGTCAAAGTGCCTTTAGACAAATAAAAATAAAACACGCCATAGGGGGTTCTTACTTATGAAAGCTGAAAAAGTTGCTTCTGTTTGGACCATTTTTAAAATCTTGAGCAATTAGCACAGCCATATCACGAAGCAGGCCCAGGTTAGTCTACAAAGAGTAACTCATCATTGTCAAGTTTTCATTATAGTTTTTATTTAAAGTTGAAATGTAGTAAGTTCATATTTTGTGAACGTACCTTTTGAAGCAGCTTTACAGACTTCTGTATTTTATCAACTGCTTCAACATGCTCATCAGGACCAGTTCTGAGAAACAAAGACCCTCATAGTAAGGAAGGTTTGATGGAATTGCCATAAAAACAAGAAATCATATTTGATACTTACTTCAAGAGGGATACCAATGAGCGCTCTGTATTGTAGCTTTTCTCTGCATATTTCAAAACCCTGTTTCCAGCCAGGAAAATCAAGCTTGTTTTGTTCTTCTTTCCCTTCTCTGTTCCCAGTAGTTTTATTACCTAAAATGTGTGTTTATTGGTCATTGGGTTTGTTGCATAATAGGAAGTAAACAGATATTTCACCTGTAAATGACTGAGGTTCGACACATGAGTTCCACAACACATGTTGGCATCAACACCCTCAATGTCAATGATTCGGATTGGCCCTGCATGATCATCTGGTAGCCCTCGACTCCTCACCTACAGTTTAAATGTGCATTTGTTAAAAACATTTTTTCCTACATGGTTTTATAAAGTACACATACCTTCTCCACAATAGGATCATCTATTGACAGAAGCTGCACATTGACAGGGATGTGAGCTCTGATCTTTTCATTGACCGCCTCCTCCAGAGACTGTAGCTGGGCTGGTTTCACACATGGAGTATCCAACTCTATGGTGCTTCTCTGGCGCCCCAATTCCCTGAAAAGAAATCACAGGCAAGCAAACATTAGATTTAGATTAGCACTGAAATAAAGTAATGTCAAAATTAAACAGAGATTGCATTGTGGCTGTACCAGGACGTTGTTTTGTATCCAAACATTGCATCTGCCAAAGCTGTGATTAAGTGTTGTCCTGCAGGAATAAAGATCAGCCATTTAGAACCAAACTGACCAGCCTAAACTATTTAATGTCCTGCTCTAAGCATGCCTCACCAGAGTGTTGTTGCATATGGTCAAACCTGCGATCCCAGTCCACTCGAAGCTGCACCTCCTGCCCAGGCTCTACAGAAGAGCTCACAAAGTGGACAGCATCAGGACCCTGCCTAGTCACTCTCAACACAGGGACGTCTCCAATGAACCCATGGTCATCTGGCTGACACAGCGTAACAAAAAATAACATTAATTGTGCAGCTCATATTCGCAAACAAAACACATACAACTACTGAAACTGACCTGACCACCGCCCTCTGGAAATAAAATGGTGTCTTGTAGTTTGACATTGAATCCTTTCAATGTTTCTTTCTTTCCATTGACTTCATGCTTTAGCTCAGCAGGACAACAGGACACTACACTTGTGACAAACTAAAAGATCATTTGTAGTTAGTCATCTTTATAACATGATCTTGTAGAAAGAAGACTTGCACGCCTGAAAACATGATGCTAGGTGACACAGAAGTACTGAACTAGCCACTAAAACAAGCTCTTAAAAGTCGATAGTCAAATGCATGTGTCATATCTACATTAAAATAGACTCGCGAGTTTAGCCACAAGCTAACACTCAGAAATTCAAACAATGTCTAACTTGATTATACTGATAAATACAACCTTTTAAATACCTCTTTCATGTAGCAGTCTCGTTGACATTGGAATGCCATAATGAACTACTAAACATTTAAATCAAGATATAAAAAAACGTAGTTTGTGCACTCGTGCAACAACCTCCATGAGCAAACTACAGCAACTCAGCTGTCGGCTTGCGACGGAAAGCCGAAGAGTCCAAACATGGCTGAAACGAAAATACGCTCCGCAACCATTGTTATTATTATTTTAATAATCAATGGCATTGCCTCACTGGTGGTGCAGACGTGCAAGTCAAGCCACTTTAAAACCTAAGTAGTTAGTGGTTATTAATTTAACTTAACTAAGCTTTGGTTTTGTACTGTTTATAACTAGGTTTAAATGAATACTAGACGGGTTGTTGCTGCCATCTTCTGGGGATATATTGATAATAATAATTTTTTGTATACTTTTTAGGACAACAATTCCATTATTATGTTACAACAATAATGTACATATTTTTGTAACAATTTTAGGCTAAAAATAATATTCACATAACATAACAAATAGTAGTGGTACCATTAAAACATTTATTTGTCATCGATATGAAAACAATGACAATTATTTTAAATTAAATAATTGTTTAAAAAAAACATAATAAGATAGTAATAAAACAACAATATAAAAATACAGTTTAGAATACACCTTGTCCAACACAAACATAACAGCAACACGAGGGTGTTGCTAGTTATGGGTGTCCTAGTCAGTCAGATCAGTCAGACTGAAAAAGAAAAAAATTATAATAATAAAAAAATAATAAAATTAAATATTTTTCTTGTGATATATATATATATATATATATATATATATATATATATATATATATATATATATATATATATATATATATATATTTTTTTATTTTTTTTTTTTTTTCTTACATCACTAAGATCATCCATATCTGGTGCTGGTCCTTTATTTGTTGACATTTCTTTAATCATCTGAAAAGAAGAAAAAGAAGATGCACAATTCATTGCTGTTTTAACATAATTAGAATATAGCTCTAATATAACATATTTCACTCATTACTCACATCCATGTATCTGTCATACTCTTCTTTTCCTTCATCTTCCTCATGTTCCCAGTCTCTCCAGTTGTCAAAGTCAACAGAAATCCAACTAGGCTGCATCAGAACAATGTCAATATTTAATCAGAGAATATAGTGAAAGAGAATTGAAATAAATACACACTTTGAAAAGCAACTAACTTTTTCTGGGTTTTTCTGGAGTCGAGGCCAGGCAAAATCAGGCTTTACTTTCCTCAAAAGGACGTTAATGGTGCGGTCATAGACTCTTTCTCTGGAGTCCTAAAAATATTAAAAGAATTATTCAACACATTTCTGTAACAAATATAGCTTACTAAGCTAGGTACTTACATGAATTTGTACTTTTTCAAAGAAGTGTAGCTCATTGTAGAAGACATCTTCTTCATCATTTTTACAGCTGTTGTAGAGTTAGGGCAGTTGTAAGTGGAACCATTTGAGCACACTTAAAACAGCATAGCCTACAGTTCCTACTTAACAGAAAAATGATGTACTCACAATAGAATCATTTTGTCTGTTTGAATATCGACCTTCACATCTTTTGGTTTCTGAACGACAAAGTTGATAGTGACATATTTTTTTCGGTCATACCAGTAGGCATGTGCTGGTTGGCTGAAAGGAAAAAAATATATTCTATTGCTCTGTATTGCCTCACATACACAGATTTATATAACAAGAAAATTACATTATAGATATGAAACAAAAATAATCTTACCTGTGTTCTGGTCTGGGAATCTTGACTTTGTTCATAATGAGGCAAATATTAAAAAAAAAACGACAGAGTTACAGTAAGAGCACTTTTGATCCTTTAAATAGTAGTTTGTGGCACCCTCGTGTAGTGTGTGTTCTGTAATGGAGGCAGACCCACTGTGACACTATTTATAGAGCAGTTGGTATCAGTTACTGGAGGCTGTGCCTGTCTCAGACCCTTCCCCACACCAAATGGGCTGTCGGTGGAACTCTCGGGAAAACAGATGCATTTTCTGTGCTCTTTTCTCACCTCAATCACCCTCGTCAGCCAGGAGGGCCTTCAGGGGGGTCAGCCAAAGGAAGAGGAAGTTACTAAACAGAGATGTCGCAAGCAATACAAATCAAAAAGAACCTCAAATTCAGGGGACTACTGACAAAATTGTAGGCCTATGTCTAATATTTTGTTTTTACTACTTACAGTATTATGAAGTTAAAGTCTTTAAGTTATCAACTCTGACAATGGTTTTATATCTTTTATGACTTCAAATTTCTATGGTAAACCCAAAATGTATGTGTTTCAATTTTATGTTACAAGTACAATGTTGAACAATTACTCTTCTTCCTGCTCCTTTTTATTCATTCCTTTTCATTTCTTGTATGTTTATTACACTGTTTATGTATTTTGAACTTTATGAATCAAATAAAGAAACAAATAAACAAATGCATAAACATTTTTTAATTGTCCATTGCTATGGCAATGGTCCACATTTTTCGTCATTCTAAAATCCATGGACAAACTCTTTGTGAATGATAAACCTATGAAAAACACACAAATACCACCTATGATATCACAAACATAAAATCAAACATTACACATTTAATTACTGTATCTGACCCATAGACTGTGATCTGACCTGGAGCTTGGGATTTAGTTGATGAAAGTTATTACACTTTCCCAGATTAGATTAAGGTTGAAAGGAAAAAGATTTGCACCACAGAACCGTAAAAAAAAATCCTTAGTATGGATCCATGATTTGCAAAAATGCCAAACAAAACAAAACAAAACAAACAAACAAACAAAAAAAAAAAAAAAGCATCAATCGCGAAAGAAATCACTCGCGTGCGCCCCCTACTGTTGTGGTGCAGTCCTCCCTACCGGAAGTGCAGTATTCCAGGCTGTTCTCTGGGCGGTTAGCCTGTGTACACCTCAACCGCTACCCCAAATAAAGCTGAATCTATCGTTTTCTCTCATCTTTTCACCTGCAAGTGTTGGTCGATTGTTATATACCAAATTTTCCTAAAAAGTGCACTTTATTGGACAAGAAAATGCCACGTAGACGACAGGTAAGAAATGTAGGTCGCTTCAGATGTTAGCTTAGCGTTAGCAAGTTAGCTATCAGTAAACAATTGTCAGGGATGAATGTTTTTCTTTGTTTTATTCTGTAACATTTTTTAACATCTAAGCATTTCCAAAACAACTACGTGTTGCCATTTTAAATCGGACTAAATTAGCGTGTCAGAACACTGTTTATTTCAATTAACAATTCATGTCTGCATTTTGAATGGGAGAATCATCTAACTATCGAGCGCAAAAGTAAATGACTGGAAGACACCTGTGGCTTGGTTTTTGTTGTAATTTCAATAACCAACGCTATTTGAATCCCTCCTGTTATACTGATATTGAAACTCAAACCACATGCATGTTCATTGTTTACTATACCAACTGATCCTATTTAGAATGAATGTGCTATTGTTGTTTGTAGCAGAGACCTATGCCAGGAAGTGGTTCAGATGGGACAGAAGACTCTGACTCCTCTGCTGAGCGGGAGCAGACAAACAGCTCAGAAAGTGATGGAAATATTCCCAAGAGACAGCGCCTCACTCGAGCCTCCACTCGCCTCAGCCAGAGCTCTCAGGGTAAGCCCACAGCTCTGAATAAATCCAGGGACACTACTACTTTTCTCTTCAACTCTGTCAACATTGTGGTTTGTATGCGTCAGACACACCAGACTTGAAGCGCGCTGTTGACCACGATGAGTCTCCTCCACTGACGCCCACAGGAAACGCCCCCTCCTCTGAGTCTGAGCTCGACATTTCCAGCCCCAATGCATCTCACGATGAGAGCCAGGCCAAAGACCAAACCAGCAGAGATTCAGATAAGGATCTTTCCCATCGACCCAAGCGCCGCCGCTGTCACGAGACTTACAATTTCAACATGAAATGCCCCACTCCAGGGTGTAATTCACTTGGTAATGTACCTCCTGTATAGAATGTTGAATAAAGGTTACACTTGGTTTAATACCAAATGGCAAGACTAAATTAATTTGATTGTACATTCCCTCTGCAGGTCATCTTACAGGGAAGCATGAACGTCATTTTGCTGTATCAGGCTGCCCTCTTTACCACAACCTTTCGGCTGATGAATGTAAGGTGAGCATTAAGTCAAGAACTTGGGTAATCTTCAAATACTAAGAATAAATTAGGTAATCTTCAGAGTTATAAAATTTATTAAAAATAAACTTAAACAATCGTTTAGGTTAAAGCTATCACCCGTGACAAACAAGAAGAAGAGATGAAAGTGCAGGAAGAAAGCAATTCTCGACATGCAACTCGTCATCAGGTGAAGTTCATGTTTTTTATTGAGTAAGAATATGTGTTTCTTATTCTTCTGTTGTTTATTCCAGACCCCAACATCAAAACAGAGCCGCTACAAGGAGCAGGTGAATGAGATGAGAAAAGGTCGAAACTCTGGCCTGCAGAAAGAGCAAAAGGAAAAGCATATGGTACATGCTCTCTAACTGCTGTGAAGTAGTATTACCAAAATATAGCCTTATCTATTGTTATTACTTATTCACAGGAGCATCGTCAGACTCATGGCAACACCCGAGAGCCACTGTTGGAAAACATCACTAGTGATTATGACCTGGAGCTGTTCAGAAAAGCCCAAGCTCGAGCATCAGAAGACCTGGTAAGGATTTATTACTAATAGAATTTAATAAGCATGGTATTGTTCTACATGTTGAAAATGTGTGTGCTATTTATCTCCAGGAAAAGTTGCGTATCCAGGGGCAAATCACTGAGGGCAGTAACATGATAAAGACCATTCTGTTTGGGCGATACGAACTGGACACCTGGTACCACTCTCCTTACCCTGAGGAATATGCACGCCTGGGCCGCCTCTATGTATGCGAGTTCTGCCTAAAGTACATGAAAAGCCAAACCATTCTAAGGAGACACATGGTGAGACCTAAAAACTGCACTGGATTTATGGACAATATTTTTGTTACATCAGTGTATATATTTGATATATTAATATTTTTAGGCCAAGTGCGTATGGAAGCATCCTCCAGGTGATGAGGTTTACCGGAAAGGTGCAATATCAGTGTTTGAAGTTGATGGAAAAAAGAATAAGGTTAGTTTTTGTTATCTTAGCATAGATCATGTCTTACAGAAAAGGTTTTGTGTACAAGACTTCCACTCTCTTCTCCACAGATTTATTGCCAGAACCTGTGCTTACTTGCCAAACTCTTCTTAGACCATAAAACTCTGTACTATGATGTGGAGCCATTTCTCTTTTATGTGATGACAGAGGCCGACAACACTGGCTGTCATTTAGTGGGCTATTTTTCTAAGGTAAAATCAAGTGTCAATTTATGTCTTTTGTTTATTTTGATGAAACAGTTCATATGCATTTAACTGTTTTTATTCTTTTAATTTCAGGAAAAGAACTCATTCCTCAATTACAATGTGTCTTGTATTCTCACAATGCCACAGTACATGAGGCAGGGCTTTGGCAAGATGCTTATTGATTTCAGTATGTACTGAAATACTTCTGTTATATGTTGCTGTAATGTCCATTATTTTTATAGAATGGTATTCATTTGTCGCTCTGTGTATTTGTGTAGGCTACCTTCTTTCCAAAGTGGAAGAGAAGGTGGGGTCACCAGAAAGACCACTCTCTGACCTGGGCCTTATCAGCTACAGAAGTTACTGGAAGGAAGTTCTACTGCGATACATGTACAATTTTCAAGGGAAGGAGATCTCCATTAAAGGTACAAAATAATAATAAATAATGTTACACAAAGCATTATTATGTGGTTTATGTGACTGTAATGCAGACTTTTTTCTTTTTTCTTTAGAGATTAGTCAAGAAACTGCAGTGAATCCAGTAGACATTGTGAGCACTCTGCAATCGCTCCAAATGCTCAAGTACTGGAAGGGCAAGCACCTGGTGTTAAAGCGACAGGTACACAGATAAACTTGTACTGTTGTCCACCATAACAAGAACCACAAAACTTTGGGCCAGGATGTCAGATGTTTATTTTTCATAATATATATATATTCAATTGGTACTTTCACAGAAACAATTATTTATTTCTACTGTTATATTGACTGATGATTTGACATTGACAATTTAAACAAAACACACAACATTTTACATAATTAGATACAAAGTTCATGGGTTTGGATCTTTATTCCAACATTTTCTTTTTCTAGGACCTGATTGATGAGTGGAAAGCAAAAGAGATCAAGAGAGGGAACAGCAACAAAACCATAGACCCCACCTCACTCAAATGGACCCCTCCTAAAGGGACATAAACAGCATCCCTCCGCTGCTCAATAAACTCTTTTAGCCTCTAGCCACAAGTAGCCTCGACTTTCCAATGTCTGCGACATCAGTGTTTTTTGTTTTCTCATGGACTTTTTTTTAAAAACTTTTTTATTTTACGTGACTGATGTTTATTGTATGATTGTCCACAAATGAACTCAAGGGTTTTTGCTTGTCCAAAATGTGCTTTCTATGCTTTGAATGTTAACTGTTCCACATATCATGATTGTTTTGCAGCATTTCCAGGCTGTTACCATTAGTTCTTTAAGAATTGCATTTTGATGCTAGTTACCTTCGAATTAATTATATTTCAATAGCATAGAAGTTTAACGCAGACTGTACTTGACTAGTATGATAAATAGAAACCTTCTTTGGTTGATGTGATATTGTATAGATTCTTCTTTTTACCTCCATCACTAGATGATTTGGACCCATTCCTCTTGAGAACCTGCCAAATTATTAAATAAAAATTATAAACTCATGAAAATGCACATAAATGTACAGATGACCTCAGGTTTTTATAATATTGTACTGAACCTTGCTTATGTGATTTCTCCAGAACATCAGATGCAGTTGAAGGATGGATTCTTGGCAAAGAGTCTGCAATTAATTAAATATTATGTCACTGTAATTGCCTTGTATTCATATTTACACATTTGATATTTTGAATATCAATAAAATTGACAGATTCTATGTAATCATTTTAGTTCATACCTGGCATGCTTCTTCCCATCAGACCAACAAACATTTCCCCCTTTTTTCTGAAAAGAAATATATTTTACTCTTCTTATTCAGGCACCTTTATTTATAGTGCAATTAAACTGTTATACTTACTTCTATCTACTTTGATAGGTTTGTCATTACCTAAAAGAAGAAAAAGTTCATCATATTGAGTGTATGTTAATTATGTGGAAAGAGGCTTCTTAAATATTATTTTATTATAGATCAACTTTGTTATTAAAATATTTAGCGCATAGGGTGAAATTAAGCTCTTATATTTTATTGTCAGTAACTGAATGTTTTAATATTTGTTAAAAAAAATTAAATAAAAACCTGTACATCACCTGAGCGTTTACCCATGAGTCCATAGAAGCGGAGAGCTTTAGATCTTTTCATCAAAGCATCCACAGCCTCTGTCAGACCTGTGTCCAGCGATAGATCCTGTCATGACAAAATGTCATTGAAAAAATAAAGCAAAATCTCAGATTTTTACCCAGATGCTCTGTTAGTACATTACCTGCCCTCCTTCCTCATCTAACGTAAAAGACATTCCCACATATATTTGCATCACTGAACAAAAGGTGAAAATAAAAAGCTGTATTTTCCAGAGGTCCATTGAATAAGTCCTTAATTCTCATATGTGATAAAAACCAATGCAACAGACTTACTTTTCCTGGCCCAACTGATTTTTCTGCCTCATTTATAGCTCAGTCCCAATGTCCACAGTCCCCTCCTCCAAAATACATTATGCCAGGACCCTTATGTCCATTACATCATTTATTTCCTATTTTTAAAGCCGCGCCCCCTTCATATAACCATAGATTTCCCGAGTGATTCCTAATACATAAAACTAGTCTATTCCTAATTGACTACTTGCTTATCAAAGACACTAAACCAAATATTTACATTTGAAATAGACACATGTTATAAGCTAGTGTTTGTTCATAAATATTTGTAACTGTGTCCCTTTGATATGGCAGATGCTCCTGGCCACCTTTTAAATATAACCCCACCCTTTGAAGATATAGAATTTTATTAGTAGCCAGTTGACTTGGTAGCCCCTTTGACATCAGAGGTTTCACTTCTAACACTGACTTTGAAACACTGTATAAAACACAAGCTATACATTTAACCTACAGAAACTGTTTTGACACAAACCATAATTTCATGATCTTAAAGAAATGTTTTAATACAACAATTTTCCTACAACAAATTGGAAAATGTTCCAAATGCTATAGAAATGTCTGGAGAGCCAATTATTTGACAATATGTACTTGTAAGAAGCCCCACTTGAAACAAAGCCGATCCAAACATCCAGAGCTTTGATCCGGACACAGGTGCTTCTGAGCAAGAAAAGCAGCGGGACAATTATCCCTCAAAAGGCAATTAGAGCTGAACAGTCCTCATGCATGTGTGCACTGCTAACATGGAGAGAGGAATCAAAAGGAATCACAAGAGATGAATTAACATATGAAATGGTTTAGTCACAAAGAGCTGGTGTAATGACAGGGGACCGGCTGACGCAGGCCCCTGCTCACCGGGGCTGAGGTCTGAGGATTTGGCTGGACTGTTTGTCGATGGTGATTCATAGTTTTATGGTGACCTCTGCATGTTCTGATGTCATGCAGGTTCAGTATATTTCAAATCCAATAAGCAGTAGTTGCATTTATTTTGATCATTTATGCACCATTCATTAAGGGGGGATAATTTTTATATAGCCTAAATCACAAGGAGCAACAGTTTGGGATGCAATAGCTTGGCAGTGGCCTGTGAGCTCATGTGAGCACTTATGTGTTAGCCCTGACCGTCCTTTTCCACATAGATTTTGTATAATATGAAGGTGCATTATGTAACTTTTCTTCATAAAGGTGATGCCACGAGGTCATGTGTTACGACCCAGCTCGTTTGGGGTGAGGGAAGTAACAAAAATAAAACCAAGATGTAAAATGGAATAAATTAAGTTATGTTTAATTAACAGGAATGTAAAGGTAAATTAACAAAACACAAAAAATATACAGAAAACAACCTAAACTAAGAAACAGAACAACAGAATAAACAGAGTTTTGTGCCAGAAAAGGGATCACGCAGGCTTACACAAAAACCAGTGGTAAAACTTAGGGACACACACTAAACTAAAACACAAGTTCCCCAAATTAAACCACATAAACCCACAAACAGAATCGAGTGACCAAATCAAAAAAGGCACAAAACAGAACTAAACTAACACACAAACACAAAACCAAAATGGCATACTGGCCACCAAGGCCAGCAGCCCCAAACAGGTGCTGGCAATCTCCTTAAATAGGGGGAGGTGGCTGCAGGTGAGGTGGGCGTCGACTTGCCCCACCAATCACAGACCAGGACTCCTGCAGCAGGAATCAAGAGAACTCTGCAGAAATATTACAACTAAGGCCTGGGGCCGTAACATCATGTTACAGGTCAGACCTGTGGAGAGATGACCCAGCTCACTGCTAATTGCCATGTGGAACATTCCAGGCAAGGCATTTCAAACTTTCATTCAGAAAAGTGACATAGAGCACTTTTAAGGGAGGATTATTTTGAGATCACAAAGAATTTGAACAAGATCTACTTCTGTCAAGATTGTTTTGGCAGTGGTCTATGAACGCATGAGTACTGTCTCTAGGGAGATGTTATTCCTTTGCCTAGAATGTTTCACAGTATGATATGAAGTGGCAACATCAGGCAACTCAGTAACATCAAGCAGTGATGGCCCCGCTCCAGAAAAGTTACATACATAGTTCATGTTTAAAATCAAAATAATACAAAATCTGTTCCTATTGGTTTTATTTGTGTTTCCTGTGTGCTTCTTCATTTTGGGCTAATCAAGTTCACATGACTGTTGAAAATATGGCTTTAGGAATTTTGGAAAATTATAGACTTTGAGAGGACCAAACCAAAGATAATTTAGCACATCCCATCTTTGGGCTCAGTTCCACATGGGAAAGCCATTAATATTTTCCATTTAATTCTGCAATTTCATTTTCAGCATATACACTGAAAAAAAACATATTGCGCTATTTTCAGATCTGACCTGGAGTTGTGTTTTCTTTCATTCACACTTGTTTTAACACACAAACCCTGCATATTTAGGCTGAACACTCTTCCATCATCCACACACTTTCACTAGAATCATTTGGATCTCTACTGAAATAAATAAATAAATAAATAAATGAAAAACGTTAAAAATTGTTAACTTGAAACCTACTGCTTCATGGGGTCAGATCAGAAGGTGGAACAGAGTATTTTGAGCTTTGGAGCTGTAGGCACACTAATAATAAAGGGTTACTCAAACATATGAGAATGAAACAAAATATAATATAGACCTTTAAAACACAATATAGGAACTTTCAATAATAAAAGTTGCCCCAACATGGATAAAACTGTATTTTTATATGATGCATTCAGACATACGGATTCGATTTGTGCTTTAATGTGAAGAAGAATCCCTTGAGTTGCTACTGTCTGTGGTGTAAATCAGATTTCAGTCTCAATGTAAACACTGTGAACTACATCTGTTGTGTTTTTGATACGCTCCCTTGTGCTTCATATGAAACATTTATTAGAAGTGAGTAACTAGTGTCTTATGGGGCTTACTGAACTATTGTAATCCTACTACAGAAGTCATCATTACTTCCAACTGTAATGGTACACGACACACACGGCACACTGTGTCTGTGTCTCATTTATCTGTGGTTACACTTAATACAAACCACCATCCACTGTGTTCTGGGGCCTAAACCATTTCAATATGCAGATATGCTAAGATTAGAATTTCACTGTAACATTGATTGAGCTTATGCATCCAGAAATACAAATAAAGAAACAAAAAACAAAAAGAGTATTATAAAGCCTTTTGTCAGTGACTGCTCCTCTATTGCTACCACAAGTTGCTTCTGATGTTATTCTTTCATTTTTGAGTCAGTCGGCCTACTGTGTTCTTTCTTGGAGTGTCCATATCATAAATATGGTGATAGTTTCATGGGGAGTTGTAACATATGCTCAAGGTTAAACTCACTATTGCAGCTGCAAAGCTTCTGTGAAGGCTGCTGTCCACCTGACAGTAAAATCTCCTTTTAGCCCTTTATCACTATTGTAGCTTATAACAATAATGCCTATAAGTTAGTTAGTTAGTTTTATTCTCAACACATAGAAAACATAGCCTACATTAAAAACTAAAAAACTAAAAAACTTAAACAAAACAAAAAACAAAACAAAGCAAAACAAAACAGCATGTCTTGTTCAAAAGAGCGGAAAGGTAAAAGCGTATTTTTGAAACATGACCTATGTCTGTCCCTCAATATATACAGAGGTAAACACTGAAATGACATTGAAACAGAAAAATTGTAATGTTGATTTATGGACATGATGACCAATTAGTTGTTGTTTTCATTTGGCATGTTTTGTTTTCAAGCAGATTGGCCAGTCAGGAAGCATACATGCATTTCTGTCTTCAATATAGAGGTTAGAGCACAAGCATCTTTAAAGTATTTAGTCTATTTAGTTTTCATTCATGTTTACAACATGTATTTTTATTTATTTTTTTTATTTTTAATTTAAGGGTTTATACAGGCACAGGCTTTTTATATTCCAATCACAGGGTGGCGCTCCCTAACTTTACCATTATTGCCACTTTTTTCTTGCTTACGTTGCATGCGTAATCCGTTGTTGACAGAAACCGCATTATCAGATGTGTCGAGCCCCGTGGATGTGGTGAGTTTAGCCCTGATATCATCGTGTATTATTTATGGGCTTGTAGAGCAGCTTAAACCCCAAAACTAAACCTGCTATCGCCACAGCATCTAGATCTGGCTTAACGCGTACAAATGAGTCCCATTCACACGGTAACAGATTTACAGCAGCGGGTCAGTCGGGTGCGTAGTACATAACAAAAGATGGTGCGATTAGAATAAAAATAGATTACATAAAGTAATAGCATACCTAATTTATTATTTTTTTTATTAGTTTGACAGATAGGTTGCAAAGGTTTCCTCATTTAATGTATAATAGAATGTACCGTACTCCACCAGGGGTCACTGTTGCTCCACAAATAAATTACGCACTTGCCCATTTGTTGATTTCTGACTTGGCTAAAAAGTTGTGCAAAAAACATTGTACAACTCAAGTTTCACTGGTATGTACAGAAATATGACAGAATGCTGCTTTCCATAATTTTACTTGACACTCGTAATGTGTGGTGTGTTTTTATGTGGTCCAACTGTGTAATTTTTAGCAAATGAAAACAGCTAAGTGTCAGCATTGTATTTGACACTACAAAGGGGACCCTCACTGGAACAAACACAGAACATGTTTATTGGACATTCTGTGGCTTGTTCACATCTTTATAAAATGGTTTTCACTGTTTCATGCCAAAAACAAAGTCATATTGTGGATACATTAGAAGTGGCTGTGTGCTGTCCAAAACCTGTTTCAATCAAAATCTATATTATTTTGATGGTACAAACCAATGGATGGGTATGTAAACTATTACTTGTATATGTGTCACATACTGTAGACTATATGAAGCTTGTCTGACTTAAAGTACTTTTTTTAACAGGATACAAACAGAATTGATTCTGCGAGTGATGCCAAAATCTT